TGTGCACCAGTGTTTGTCTAAAATATGAACGCAAATATCAGTATTAAAAAGAAAGCAATGAATGGTTTAATCCAGTACGAAATGTCGAAATTCCATCAGTTTTCTTTCCTTCAGAGACATAATAGGGCTAATTTGGTAAGTAGGACCTACTATCATATATTCATCATCTTTATTCTTAATTTTATTCTTAATTATTTTATTCTTATCTTTAATTAAAATTGTGAAATTTTATGTCCCATTTATTATTTAAGGTCATATTTTACACTTTTTAGGTCATATTTGACATAATTTTGGGTCATAAGTGCATGCATATATTTATAGTTTTTAGGTCATAAAAATCCGGGCCCTACTTATAACAGTACAGGGTGTTCAGTTCATTGCTAGACCGTGCTCCATGAAGCTGACGGCATTGTCGGGCACTGTGTGTAACGAACGCCCTCTGTGGCACAGCACGAAGAATTGCGCCAAAAGAGGAAGACCTCGTATTAACTCTTCAGACTTTTTTTTTCTTACTTGATGAGGGTGATGGAGGAAGATCAGGAGCTGTCCGGGCAGACTGTTCTGCACCTTCATGGCAATCCCAGACGCCCAAGAGGGAGGCATGGCTGGGCTCCTGGCCATCCATCGCACAAGAAAGGTAACAACCAAAGATATTCCGCACACCAACATGGAGTCCCGGTAGAAGAGCACTGCAGGAAACAAAATACACGTGCGGCTATCATACGACAGGAACAGCCTCGTGCTATTTCAGTAGGTATGGTTCCCATATCTGACTTACAGTCTTGGAATTCTCAGAGCACATGCCTTGTTATACATTAGTAATGGAAATGTTGCTTGCGATAGTTGGCAATTTCCATAAATATTAGCAAATCCCACAGCAGACCGAAACATCTGGCTCTAAAGCCTGAAAGATGATAACAATAAACGCACTAGATACTTACCATAAAATCTTCTTCAGGGAATTTAAATGTCAGTCAGTATTCTGACCGCTGGAATAAAATCCTTCCTTATTGAATGAGAGCAGTCACCGTTGTTAACGCTGTAAAGGGCAGTGGTAATTATGCATACCTATGGTTTTTAACTCTACACTTCTTCTACAGAGAAGTTCTATGGGTATCGATTCTTTCTACGGAATTTATTTCAGCACCTATAATTAGCAGAATGGTCTTTGTAATAGATGAATTGTGTGTATTTTTCGAGCTCTGAGCCGAATTTTTTTAATACGTAGTATTTATATTAGTTTTACGAGCTATAAGATTCGCGTAGTTATAGATAATTTCGATTCCTCCTCCCACCTTGCCTGGATACTGAAGCACTGCAAATCTTTAGAGATTAAACTCGCATGAGACGATAACAAAAGCAAAAACAACGTTGTGTGTCACGTCACGAAGTCATGTACACAACGTAAATCTTTCTTGTCCCTGCAGATTCGACACCAACAATATTTAAAATGTGGTAGGATTTGAGGTCCTCAAATCAGTAGCTAAGAAAGTTCTATCTTCTGGGATATAAAGTCGTAAAATTCGTTGCAAGTCAACAAACGTTTCAGAAGAACATGTTACCTCCACCTGTAGGGCCGAAAAAGAAACTTGGTACCTGCTTCACGTTGGCTTCTTGCTTGATTTATTCTTCGATCCTGAAGATGTAGCCGACATGTTCCTCTGAAAGTCTGTTTACTTTCATTGGACTAAACCGCTTCATATCCCAGAAAGTCGAACTTTCTCAAAGAGATTTAAAGTTCGCAAATATTAAAATGAGATTCTTACCTATTAAAGGGCAGTTGACACCGCCGTTAAACAAATAGAGGCCCATGTACTGCAGGTAAAGACTGTGACAAATTAAAAGTGTGCACTCGAGGCTTAAGCGGGTCGAAATTTCGGCTTCTATCCAGAACGAAGCCAAAGTCAGCACCACGAGAACTGCAGAGAAAAAAATACTTTTTACTGTATGGAATGGAGAAAACGTAGGGAAAGTCAGGAGAAGCGCTCCGGGGAATGCGACACGCCACAAAGAAAATTGCAGCCTTCTAGGATTCGTTATAAGCGATGTGTGTTTTTGTCCTGGGTACCCACCGAGTACAGGGATAACAACAGTGGCTTCATGGGTTGCCGAATGCCTCGCCAAGGTCAAAGTTACTTCTAAGTAGCCGAAACTGGTATTCTCAAACATCTCATTGAGGCCCCTTATTTCACTGCTCTGTAGTTCCCATTCTCCATTCGGCTCGTGGAACTGAAAAATCTAATTAGAAATATGCGTCATTAGACCCCCCGAGAGCGAACCGCAGCAAGTCAGCATTATTTCACTCAATAATTTACTTTTACTCAAAGATTTATTGTACATGACTATGGATCGAATGTCACGGTTCAGTGGATATGACTCTTTTTCCGTACTCGACAGATCTAGGGTTCAAATCTCGGTTAGAGACAGGTTCTCCTCAGTGAAGTATGTCGTGATTTTATTCAGGTCCTCTATATAAATGCCGGGAAGATATCTAAAATTATTATATGAAAATAAATTTTAGAGAAATAGATTATGGAAATGTTCATTGGACTAAACTGGCTTGGAAGAGGGACAAAATGGATGCTCATATGAGCACAGTGCGGAAGCTCCCAGTTCTGTACAAGCGGGAAATTTCTTGGCGAGGTGAGTAATTTTCGCCATTCCATGAAAGGCTCCGTATCAAGGCATTAATGACTTCTAGTGTACCAGTCTCCCAAGTGGTATAAGTTTATAAAGATGTTAGGAATGAATCTGTTCTTTAGCTCATGTTGATTGTTTTATCGATTCTCGTGCCAAAGAATTCTGTCTTTTGGGATATAATCTTGCAAAGTCCGATGAAAGTCGACAGACGTTTCGAAGAAACCCATCAGTTAGCTTGCCCTTCGACCCTGAAAATAGAAGTGAAATATTCCCCAGGAACATCAGTTGACTTCCAGAGGACTGTAGCGCTTTATATCCCAGAAGATAGAATTCTTCAAAGTCACCGCTGTGACAAACTTAGATCCCAAATTACCTGAGTCATTTTTCGATTCTGGTTCAACTGAAAAGATTTCTTACAGTCGAATAAAATTGGAAGATGAGATGGCTCAAATGTTGTAGAGAAGTTTGGGATGAAACGGTTTCACCTGTCCCGATATTCGCCGGGAGAAACTAAGGAAAATAACGAGAAATCTCCCTCACTGCAGTCAGCAACAAACCTAGTACCTTCCGAATGCAGGGTAAGGCATTACCGTCACACCAGACACCTTGGTCTGTCCGTTCGACGGTCAGATATTCCTGGGCTTCTGCTATCTCATCCTTTGGCCTATCCAGAGTTACTGAATGACATGACCCACCATATTGTCCCCGTGTACGGGGATCAGCTTCAGCTCTTCATGCTGCAGTCTCCAAGGGGCCAGGAGGGCCTCGCAAACGTGTGAGTCATATGGCCAGTGCGTGAGGTCCGAACGGCAATTTGTCCCGAAAGAGGACCACGAGATGCACGTCACTCGGCCAGACGATTCCAGGAGACAGGGAAGCACTCCCATGTACAATCTGTCACCCACCACGTCCCTGGAAGCAAGGGACTTCCGTACACAGCTTTGTAAAGGCAAGAGGCAGCAGTGTACTCCAATGAAACAACCCCATTCTGAAAAGCATTATCTGAGAGTTTCAAACGTCATTGCTCTTGATGTTCATTTATTGCAGGCATAAGCCGAGTCGCCGATCACAGTGGCCGCGCGGTCTAAGGCATGAACTGTCCCCTCTTGCTAGAACGCCGGGATCGTGGGTTCAAATCCCACTCAAATCATAGATAGATAGATAGATAGACAGACGGACGGACAGACGGACTGATGGATGGATGGATGGATGGATAGATAGGTATGAAATGAGACTGGAGCTATGAGCGGACCAAAGAGAATGGGTGGCCCTTCAAAAATGGTGGGGGGAGAATGCTTTGTGAACGGGCACAAAAGAGAACACCATAAGAGAAAAAATTGGATACATGGCGTCATCACACAAAAGCAGGGTCAGCATCATTACTAGACTGTCGTGAGAATTTTAAATCATTCAGAACTCACATTGTTACCCATCCAATCTGAGGAGTCCATAGGAAACTCTCGCTGGTGTAGAACCTCTTGATGTTTCCGTAGTGTGAAGGGTCCCACTTCAGACGTTCGTCCTCCCACTCCTGTATTGAGATCAAGCAGAGAGTTACTTACAGTCTTCGACAGGTATCGTAAATTGGACCCCCGGCCTTCTCCGGGTCGAATTTAATTTTGTACGAAGCTCTGGCCGAGAGACAGATCCACAGTGAAACATCTGGTGCCTATACAGGACAAGAGAAATTGCGGATTTGAATCCAGAACACCGGTAGAAATTCCAACCAATCAGCTTCAGTCGCTCGACCATAAACACCTTCTCCAGCGCCCTTCTTGTCTGAACAAAGGCACCGCATTGAGCAAATTAACAACCTTCCGAAAATTGTCAGACTTTAGTAACATTTATGAGCCGAAGGACACCGTATGGGGGACCTTTAAAGTAAAGCCGAGTGGCCGAAAGACACCGTATGGGTATGTGCAGTCCACGCGTGCGCACAGTGTTTTAAAATTTAATTTTAAGATAGAAATTCTTGTTCTACTTACATTAATTTTGGACACCAGCTTTATAAGTAGACTGTCTTCCCTCCTGCATCATCTAACTGATTGTTGCATGACACTGAATGCAGAGCCCGACGTCGCAATTCATGCACTTTGTCCGTAATTAACTCTGTTTTCCACGCGAAGCGCGCACACGCAATGTCTCGTATTAGCAGGAAGTAAGCCAGTGATGGAGAGTGGTGTCCACTATTCATAACGCTTAATTTCAACTATGCACCATGGCCCATTTTCGCATTGAAGGAGTCGAAATTCAGAGGCAGCTCGTAAATCACACCATTCAGAATGCGTTACAGTTTATTCTGAAGGGACTTCGAAGCAAGTGGTATGAGGTGATATTCCAAGAACTGCCTCTGTGTGGATAGTCCGACATACGTGAATAAACAAACGGATAAGAACTCGCCCACACTCGTGTATACAAGAAGCCCACTGAATGGAGAATGTGCAATGGAAACAAACATTCCCTCTCCTCCAGATAACACATAGTTAAGACCGTGAGTCAGAAGCATGCATTTATACTGCAGGAAGGTTTTGTGCGGAAGCTTTATGCATTTTTGTAGACAGACGCTCAAAATTGGGGACTTTTTTTTTAATCAATGTAACAATTTTTACAGATTCTAAAATCTATAAATTACAATATCTAATTCTATATACTTTCTAGATAAAAGTAGCGTTTATTTCGTTCCTTTATCACAAAAATTGTAGAAATCACAGCATTTTAAGTAACATGATTACAATTTGTATTAGGCCTACTCTACAATGGCGGGCATTTAAATTAACTCCGTCCCGCTGCCACTACCGGAATTTAAATGGCCCGTCCCATAAAGGGTAAGATACATCATTATTTTATAAATCATAACCATATCCAGTACAAAGCATGCAGTAACAGGAGAAAAACACAACACAGAACACGATACACAAATATATGTAGGAAGAATGCTCACATAAAAGAGGATTGGCGTAATTCGCGTGTTTGAGTGCGATGTAGGAAGTATCCTGAAAAGTTTTATTATTTCGAATTCATCGTCCTATATGACGAATACAGATTTTAGTCATTTTATAATGAAGACATTATGGCATGCAGTACAATAGTTTAACGTGCATAAAGACACCTGAAGATGGCACATTAGTGCTGAAACATGTAGCGTGGAGGTGAAGAATAAGGTGAAAAGTGTATACACTGTAAGACGGTCAGCATAAACCATGGACATGAATCAGTGTAGTAGGACGCTAAAATATAACATTGATTATACCACGCTAGGCTTATCATCCTATCCGCCTGTCGTCTTTCTTGTTGAAAACAATGAAGAAACTAGTGGATAGGCATATCAGGGACGGGGTATTGAGGACATATCCTCTACACCGAAACCAACATGCCTACCAGACAGGTAAATCTACCGAAAGTGCACTACACAATGTGGTAACACGCACAGAAAGTGCGATTGAACACAAGGATATTGCCTTAGGCGCATTCCTTGACATAGAGGGAGCTTTTGATTGAACCACGTTTGATATAATCAATGCTATGCTGTAAAGCAGAACTATAGCTGCTACATTATCAGGAGAAACCCTAGGGGCGTCCGCGTCTAGGGGATGTCCACAGGGGGGCGTCCTTTCGCCTCTGCTGTGGGGTGTGATCGTCGACGATCTCATGTGGGGAATTAATGATGATGGGTATTATACAGTAGAGTATGCTGATGACATAGACGGAAAATTCCTTTCGACCGTATCAGAGCGTCTTCAAACAGCTCTGTACATGGTCCAACGATGGTGTGAAAGAACAAGTCCTTCCATCAATCCCAATAAGACGATAATTATACCGTTAAAAAAGAAGAGAAATATAGAGGGCCTTAAGGACAATAAGACAATCCAGCTCTCCAGTGATGTCAAGTACCTTGGTCTAGAATTAGACAAGGGACTGACATGGAAAAAGTAGCTGGACAAAATCATTAACAAAGCCTATAAGGCTTTTTGGACATGCAGAAGCATGTTTGGTAAAACTTGGTGATTGCAGCCACACGTTATACATTGGATATATACTGCGGTTGTGAGACCCATAATTACTTATGGTGCCACAGTTTGGTGGCCCAGAGTTAAATTCAAGACAAGGAAGACAGAACTTAGCAAATTGCAAATGTTGGTTTACTTAGGTATCACAGGAGCATTTTGAACATCTCCAACAGATGCACTGGAGATACTCCTTGGATTCCCCCCACTGCATTTACAGTTGGAGGCAGAGGCCAGAGGCCAGAGGCCAGGAATCTACCGTCTCCAGTGTAGTGATCAATGGAAACCTAGATCTGATTGTTTCGGTCATGCATACATGACTCAGGGCATGAAAAGAACCATATTACAAATGGGGTCTGACAAAATGTTACTGAGACATGTATATGAAAACCCATTCACGGTCAGATTTCCTGACAGGAGTGAATGGGAAGACGAGTTTCGGCCCGATAGAAAAGGGGGACTGATCTGGTATACAGATGGTTCCTAGACAAATAAGGGCACTGGAGCTGGTGTGTTCTGCTATGGCACGAGGCGGAAACTTAGTTTCAGCCTTGGGCAGTACACGACAGTATTCCAGGCAGAAGTATATGCCATTAAAGCATGTATTATGGGGAATTTAGATAGGAACTATAGAAATAGGAACATTTGCATTCTATCTGACAGCCAAGCTGCACTTAAAACGCTTGACAAACACCAGATCAATTCAAAATTGGTCTGGGATTGCCACCAAACCCTCATGGAACTGGCCTAACATAACAGGGTACAACTGATATGGGTGCCGGGCCATGAGGGTATTGCTGGAAATGCAGCAGACCAATTAGCTAAAATTGGAGCGGAACATCCGTTCATAGGACCTGAACCAGCCTGTGACATTTCTATTGGAGTTGCCAAACAGGCAATCAGGGACTAGGCTAACATAAAACATAATAAATATTTAGGATCCTTAACTGGACTCAGGCAAGCAAAGGGACTCATATGAGTCCCTTTGCTTGCCTGAGTACATTTTAAATTTGAGGGAAAATTTTCCCAAATTAAATTTTAAATTTGAAATTTGAAAAAAAAAATAAATGAATTTTTAAAGTTGGAACTGAAGATTTTAAAAGTGCCAGTTCATGAAGGTCAAAATTGACGTGTGTGGGAGGCAAAGATGAGGTACGAATCAGACAAATATCAGCGAAGTAGATCCTGTTAGCAGCGAAGAAGGGAACAATTGGGAAGACCTGTACGTTTTTAATTTTAAACGGGGTGCAGTGTAACAGCTGCGTGAGTGCACACACCTGATGATGGCCGTTTGCGGCCGAAAAATGTAGTGTAGAAGAAAGCAAGACGAAAGACCTCCAATATATTGTTGCACTTAGGACGGAGTTTATATCATATTACACATCTATCCATTTGATGATGATAACTAGGGACCGGATATTAATGCAAATGCATATTTCTTTCTCGCAACCAGAAAGTATGCTCGTTTGGATATATGTATGAATTACTTCATTACTTAAATTTTGGACATGGTTTGATGGTGCATATAAATGCGTATTTTACCTTTTTTATAAATAAGCATCATATTTTCGACGATCTCTATTTATGCTGCATACTTCCTTTTTAAAAAGTTTACCATATATATTTTTTAATTTTATGTTCAAATTTTCAATCAAGGTCGTGTGTATACAATTTAAGTGCTTCAGAATTTTAACACTAATATACACAAAGAGAATATTAAAATTAAATCCACGAAAAGTGCTCCTGTTCAAAAATTACTTAGTGAAAATTCCAATAACATTTTTTCAGTTTTCCTTTGATTTAAGCGAAGCCTTTTTAGCGGCAGATATTCCGCTGTGGAAACTAACCAATCCTACTCTGAGAAACGTCACAGAGAAGTATACACAGTGCAAAGTGCCGGATGAATCTACTGTGCGCAAAAATTACGTGAAGCACTGTTACGATCTTACAATTGAAAGCATTAGGGATACGATTCAAGACAATTTTGTATGATTATCAATCGACGAAACACAAGATTGTGAGGGACGGATTATTGCAAATTGTATAGTTGGATCTCTTAATAAGAATGGACAACCTATCCCATATCTTCTTGCGGTAGAGCAATTTGAAACCACAAATAGCTCCACAGTTTCCGAATTTTTTATCAGTTCCATGAAGTTACTATGGCCGAATGGCATTCAGTATGAGCGCGTATTGTTTTTTGTGACCGATGCCTCAAGTTATATGATGAAAGCCGGTACTGCTCTTAAAGTTATATTTCCAAATATGACACACTTGACTTGCCTTGTCCATTTGTTGCATCGTGTTGCAGAAAAAATTCGTGCAAATTTTCCGCTTGTTGACAAGTTGGTATCTTCTGTGAAGAAGGTATTTGTTAAAGCGCCATACAGAAAAGACGCCTTTAAAGCAGTAGCACCGAGCGTTCCACTTCCGCCAGAACCAATATTAACGCGCTGGAGCACGTGGCTGTGTGCAGCGAGTTACTATACCGAACATTAAGAAACAGTTAGGAATGTCGTGAATACATTTGATCCCAAAAGTGCGGCATCAATTCAAATTGCCCAAGATGTACTAAAATACGCAGAACTAGAAACTAATCTTTCCTATATATCTGCTCAATTCTATCATCTCCCATCCTCCATTTCCTCACTGGAGGCAAGCAATAGCAATACTACTTTGTATCAGTCGTTAAGTGTGTTCAAAACCACTGTTTCCAAATTGAATTCGGTTCCTGGAAGAGTTCGTGAAGTAGTAAATGAAAAAGAACACAGCATTCTTTAAAAAAAATCCAGGATATGAATAAATTTGTGAAATTTAAAAAATTTTTAGCCGGTAAACGTACTGAACTACCAAGTAAAAAATCATTAACAGTGGAGCAAATAGCGGCTTTTGTACATGCACCCTTAAGTTCCTGCGATGCGGAAAGGAGCTTTTCCCAATATAAGAGCATCTTACGTGACGATAGGAGGTGACTAACTATGGAAAAATTAAACATTTAGTAATTGTAAACTGCAACAAAAGAGAAGTTGAAAGTTCGGAGAGCTAAATGTGAGTACAATTGGTTTTTTAAATTTTTAATGAAATATGTTGGCTTTGTTGCATGATTTGTATTTAAGTACAGCTTTTTATTTCAAATTAATCATTCAGTGATTACATAAAATGAACTTAAATATTGATTTGTTGGTCTTAAAATAATGTAAAATAAATTTTAATAATTGGTATAAATTTTTATGTGCATATTTCGGAAGTTTTTCATGCATAAATGCATATATATTTAAGGGATTATTATGGCATAAAAATCCGGTCCCTGGTGATAACACAAGGAATCGCTCATTTTCACTGTAATAATTCATAAACGTACCCGCAAGTTGCTTATGAAAAATCGGTGTGTTAGATATTAAATGTGCGAAGACGGCCCAAACTCTGAGGTTACACCTGGAAAACTTAGCAGATTCTGAATAAGTAAGAGTGGGAGTTGTGCACAGAATGTATTATTAAATTGCATAATTTTACTATATTGACCTTACTACCCTCAGCATACAGAAGTATTTGAAAGAAAACATGTAGTGTCAATTAATTCTAGAATTGCTTGTTCCGGTTTAGAAACGTAATCTCTCCCCACCTGCTAAACTTGGTTAAAACTGCATATAGATCATGAGCAAAACCATAACAAACAAAGACCGTAAATGCTTTTGTTACCAGACACATCAGTAGCAGGATAAGTAAGTGTATTAGTAACAGTATTATCCTACATTTGTTATAACTTTAGGGAACAAAAAACGAAAACGTAAATTTATGTTTTTTTCTTTAATTAGCAAAGATAAATAATAATGTTATACCTATTTTAATGTTTCGCGCAACATAAACCATTACTGTGTAATATTTGAGGTTTTCACGGGGGTGACTATGAAAAAAAGCCGTCTTCTGGGATGTGGCGCCGTGTAGAAATTGTGTTAACCCACGTTTCAGAGGAACGTATCGCCTCCATCTTCAGGGTAGATGACAAGAAGAAATCCAAGAGCGAACCAGCAGATCACCTATAGCAGACTGAATCCAGTCGAGTAAACACAGCTGTATATGAGAAGGAGAGAAGGAGTGTGGCCACATAGGGAAATAGTAGAGAGGGGGAGAGGAAGGGTCAGGTGGGATAGCCAGCAGGTAGTGGGCCAGAGTTGGCATAGAGTATGTGTTATGGGGAGAGAAGGAAAGTTAAATAGAGGGCATTGACCCTGTAGTTCGGGGGCTGCGATGGAACTGAGTGGCCTATAGGGTCTGCCTGCCGTATTTCGGAGGTTACTTGAGGGAACATATGAGAAGCTTCCATGACTTGCCGAGACAAAACCCACCTCTCTGTTCATATTGTCGGGATGGAGTTCAATCTCAATTACCTCCCTAATGATGCGATCCTTATAACGGGCCTTGGTGGCGAGGATGGAGGTATTCTGAAGCTCAATGCGGTGTCCCAAATCGATGCTGTGTTCAGCTACAGCTGACTTGTCCGGATGTTCCAGACGAATGTGCCGCTGATGCTCCTTCAACCTCGTGTCCACAGAACGGCCTGTCTGCCCAATATAGACCTTGCCGCACTCGCATGGGATACTGTATACACCCGGTGTCCTTAGTCCCAGGCTATCTTTCACTGGCCGGAGAGCACTCTGCTGTCTTAAACCATTACTGTTGTGATTTTTATGCTATTCTGTATCTGGTAATAAATGTATATCCTTGCAGCTTCATAATATTATTTACTTTACAACTGTGGGATAGTTGGGACGATGGATGGATGCATTCATTTTTCAGTGTGATAAGAATGAGTGTACTTTCCACTTACCATATAAAGTCCATAGTATACGTCTATTCTCTCGTGCGTTTCAGTCTGAAACAAGAGAATTTCTGAAGCTGAGTACTAGATATACCAGCCAAACCTCAGTGAAATATATCAGCATTAGATATTTCAAAGGAGACTAAGAGGCATGAGAATTAGACATAAGACACTTCTACCACAACTCAGTGGGCTTAAAATTCAGCAAAAAATATTTCAACGGAACTCAGTGACATGAGAATCCAACACTCGATACTTCAGCAAGAACACGATATAATAATATTTCAACAAACTTGAGTGCACGAATTCACACAAATTTCCCAGTTGGCTTCGCCTTTTTCAGCTGCAATATGTTAACAACAGGCACAAGCCGGAAGGTCGCGGGTTCAAGTCCCGATGAGGCCATTGGATTTTTTCGTTTGACCTAATCCTTCCAGCCTCACTATGACCCTGGGTCGACTCAGCCTCTAACAGAAATGAGTACCATGAATTAATTAAATAATTTTCCTGGGGTGTAAAGCGCGGCGGACGCGTAAGGCTGACAACCTTACCGCCATTTTTGAGCCGATTGTCTAGATAATGTGGGAGCCTCAACGTCTCACAACCCTATGGGCCTCCACGGCTTGTAACAGTAGTGCGATTTCTACGTCGAAGATTAAGAAGATTACGGCAACGAGGAAGAACCGTAGCGAGAAGGGTAGTCGTGCAGATCTTTTTGGGTCGAACACGCACTCAAACGGAGATTTTTTCTCGGTCTTCGATGTTTTCTTTTTGTTATGGCGTGAAGGGGGCGTGGAGGTACCTCCACCGCTTCCGCCACTGTACCTCTCTCTAGCTGTCGCTACACTTATCTCCTGCCGTGATGACGGAGGGCGAGGAAATATCCCTCTCCGTCACCCTGTTTAGTATGCTGCCACCATCTTGGTAATCCAAGAAATCTCGTACTTATCTTAGCTTGCATTACTGTCTGGGGTAAACCGTAAATCGCCGAAGCTTTGGGAAGTCCTGGAGTCGGAGGAAGAGGATAACACTCGTGGATATGTGTGGTTGAATGAAACTCGTACACATTCCTAGCCTATTCTATTTACCTACGTCTTTAAATACACTATATACATACTGTGCCGACGTTTGTCGGTTCGTCTTACATTGGAAATAATCCTGCAGTGTCTCATCATGTCCACCTCCTATCACCCTGCTGGGCGGTATTCTATGCTTGGAATCACTGAATGACCTAGCCCATCTGATTAGCCTATCTCTCCCGGGTTACACTTTACACTTTACACTTAATGATCATGGCTATATGAGATGGTTTCACTTACTTGAGCTGCAGATGAGGAGGCTCGCCATCACGATCCAGCGTCCACTCATGGCCACAATTGTGATACTAATGTAAAAATGACATTAATAAGAATAGTGTAATAGATCCGAATAGAATCGAATCGGATCGAATAGGCAAAAACCCAAAGCCAAAAAGAAGAAGCCCCTAAAATGGGTCGTCTCGGGTTTTTATAACCTCTGCTCGCTGACTCGTCGTATTCCGGGTGTAGGGGTCCTCCTACCCTGACGTGATTTTGGGTCGGTGTAGCTTGATTATTGGTTGTCAACCAAGAAGGGGTTGACTCTTTTGGTAGGCCGCCTCCTCCTACTCAGCATTTTCCATCTGCCATAGTGCTTATGACCCATTTCATATAGCCCTTCCGCATTGTCAGCGGTTTACGCCGCCGCGTTAACATTCTGATTAGTCAGGAATTTCTTGTACTTCCTTGCAGACCCAAGCTCTCCGGGCCATGTCCTTATTACTGTTCAGTTTTTTTGTTTTTTCCAATCTTACCGTCTAATTGTAGTGATTCCACATTTACCAAAAAAACTACATCTACATGTACGTGACCTTTGCTCCATAACATTTTTTTTTTTTTTGACAGCACAGACGTTAGAGCTATGACAACGGCCGTTACCGCCAGGGATGCTGTTACTGTAGTTGTGATTATTGTTATTACTTAGCTTGTTAATACAAACTTCTTGATTGGAAGTCAAGTATACTCATTATATTAGATAAGTTTATTTTATCTTCCTCATCAATAAATCGAGATATATAGGAACAATCACACTACGTCTACGAAGGGTCAGTATCATGCGGCCGCTTCAAACTCGAAGTGGTGGTTTGACGAGAAATGCAGGTTTATTTGAACCAGCTAAAAATTTTAATTCCGGTTGGTACTGCAATAATTATCGTTGCTGATGTAAAGTAGGCTGGTGTATCCACGTCTATTCCCACTGTAAATATGTGGTGCGCCCATACTACTAATCCTAGAAGACCAATTGCTAATATAGCAAAGACTATTCCCAAGTTTCCAAAAGCTTCCTTCTTACCTCTTTCATGGCAGATGATGTGTGAGATTATGCCGAACCCTTTAATACAGTAAATCTTATTTGATGTACAGTAATCAAATGTTGAGTAATAGTATTTAATATTAAATATAATTACTTATATATAATTTATATATATACATATATATAATAAATATAATTTACTTCAATTTTACGTTTACCCGCAATGAACTGCCGGCATGGGAAATTCCTTGACAACAATTACAAATCTAGTCAAGAAATAATCTGTGTTTCATAAAAACGGAAGCTTCATTACTGTGTTTACAGAGGCCTACACTTGGATTTCGTTTTGAGCCAGTGGAATTCAGTCTACACCGAAACTGGCCAATTACTCACTCACGTAAAGCATATCCAGCTCATGCCACCCGCGTTTCTACAGAGGCAGTTAAGGGTATAACGTAAATATGATGTAAGGAATGTTTAAAAAAGCAATATTGTATCTCACTTTTTAATAATTACTAGCTGTACCCGGCCACGCGTTGCTGTGGCAGATCGAGTGAATTCAAAAAGTCTGTTGGATAATTAACCGCTTCATCTACTTCCACAACAGTGTCGACGGACTTGTATGTGACTGCCTCGCATTGAATGTTAGACTGAATGATATTGTTAAGTTCATAGATGTCTTTGTTCTTGGCCGCAAGAATAGCTCGTTCACTCAGCCAATCGTGATTCTTATAATTGGTTTGAATATTGGGAAATACTCTTCAACCAATTCTTCTTTTGACGTCACTAAACTGCAGAAGTTATGAGGCAATGAAATTCGTCCTGAGGTCAGATCAACCGGCACCTTTTCGTTCCCAATTACCAGCAATTGATGTGAGAATATCTCAGCTGATCGATGGTTTTTCAGGTGGACATGCATATTTGAAGTTAATTTTAACGTCTTTACGTGTCGCCACAAAGTAGAGTACTTCAGGAAAGCATTTATTTCGTCCGCTGGTGTCGATCGAGGAATTACAGGCAATGTTTGCCTGAAATCTCCTGCAAGCAATATTAATGCGTTCCCAAATGGTCTGATGTGTCCACGCAAATCTTGCACTGATCGATGAAGAGCCTCGAGCGATTTTTTGTGCGCCATTGTGCATTCATCCCAAACAATAAGTTTGCATTTCTGCAATACCCTTCCCATGCCTGATGCTTTGGAAATGTTGCACGTGGGAGTTTCAATGAATTGCATGTTCAATGGCAATTTCAAAGCGGAATGAGCAGTTCTTCCACCCGGTAGCAATGTCGCAGCTATTCCGGACGAGGCAAGAGCTAAGGCTATGTCATTTTGGGATCGAATTGCTGCCAGAGTCATCTAATTAGGAACGTTTTACCAGTTCCTCCTGGCGCATCTAAGAAGAAGAATTCTGCAACCCCGTTATTGACAGTTTGCATTATTTGATCGTAAATGCCTTTTTGTTCAAGCGTTAGCTTAGGAATATTTGATTGCACATACGACAAAAGATCACCCGTGTTGTAATTTTGTTCACGACGCAATTCTACATTGAACGAAGCAGCATCAGATCGATTCGGTGATGGCATTCCCAATTGATTGAGAACTTTGTTCGCGATTTCTAAGCACAAATCTTCAATCATTATCAACGCTTCGTTGCAGATTTCTGCTGTAAAATCCATGTTCATATCGGAATTTTCCTTGCGTATTCGACGGAAGATATCTTCAGCCATGTGTGATTTATATTTCTCCCACAACTCTGTTGGAGATGAAGGAGTGCAGGTGGTCCATATGATTGCAAACAATGCACGAATTTGATGTGGATGTGACGTGTTGCACGCGTCAGTAATGATGTAGCGTGTTTGGGTATGTCACCCTACAAATAACTTTACGCCGTATTAATTATAGCGAATCTTTATTGTAATCCACTTGCACACTTTACAAATATCGCCACTTGCAGTATTAGAGTTACTGGTTACACAATCTCTCGACCAATACTTCTGTATCTCTTGGCGTCTAGGTTCCAACCTTCTTTAGCGGCAGCTATTCCAAGAATGACTGGGCGAATGAATTCAATCCCCTTTTATACCCTCGGCCGCTGCTATGCAAATGAACCTTTGTCATAACCGCGGAAACGCTGCTTTGTTGATTCCGCGATTCCTACGCAACGACACATTGTTATTGCTTTGTCTCTGTGGGAACGCTCCGTGTATTCGCCGTAACCGTGGAGATTCGATACAGTATCGCTATTGTTACTTCCTATGCAACATGTCTGTTGTAGCGTTTCCATGGGGGTGACTCTTCTGAATTCCAAATTCCAATTCTGTTTTTCAAAAGAAGCATGTTTTAACCTGTCACAGGTGTGACATCTATATAATAGGTATATAAAAACACGCGCGCCTTCGAATGCAACGTTGTTTCAAAATTTCGAAGCAATCGGTGAAGAACTCTCAGAGGTTTAAGATCCTGAACGAACGAACATTTACATTTTTATTTATATAGATTAACTAACTCATGAGTAAAAAATTAAAATTATGCAGGAACGTGTACAGTTACACTGGTGTGCTGTTGGTCCTGCTGACCTGTAGCGATGTAAAGTTACTTACAAACGTAAAACGACCTAGGAACATGTACAGTTACACTGGTGTGCTTAGTTACAAATTTAAAACGACGCAGGAACATGTACAGTTGCACTGGTGTGCTTACTTACAAATGTAAAACGACGCAGGAACATGTACAGTTGCACTGGTGTGCTGTTGGTGCTGCTGACCTGTGGTCTAGTGCTGCTGTCGTATCCACATAAAAGTTCTTTCTTCAACCGAGACAGATGCGACTCGGGTTTCGAAATTCTACACTCTCTTCCTTGGCATCCTGTACAGGAGCACCGCTGAGATGAGCTTAATGCATGGGAGTGCGAACAAAGTTCTAAACGTTACATGACGATTTCGAATTAAATCACTTTCTTCACTGAGTGAACGCTTTTCAATCGTTGTTTTCTTTACATTATTGGGCAATGATTATTCAATATATCACAGCTGTGTGTCTTTGGTTTATTTAACATAATTTCTCAACTGCTTATGTCACATAGCGTCTAAACTGAGAATTATTGTGAGTTATAAATTGGGAAGAACACAGCAGAAGATGTTCCTACATCACTGTAAACGTAACGTGTCAGCATCTTTCTCTAGTGACTGAGGTAAATCACGAAAACCTTCACCTCACCTGCGAATATAACGCTGATCGGACTTGATAAGGGGGGGCGTGCTGCACACCAAGCCACGACAATTGAGCCATAATAAGTGCTAAACTGTCTTAAATTCTTACAATTTTGGAATCGATTATTTCATATTTTTTAAACCAGAGGTAATAAGCCTATTCTCTTGAAATTTGAGCTGACCTCAAACTGAAGTTCCAAAAGCGTTAGTTGAAATTAATAATGTAGGAATATCTTGATAACCTAAAATTCTAGCGCACAATTTTATTGTATACATCTTTTGAGTTTGATTTGTTTCATTCTGGTCCGTCACACTAGCAATTACAAATATAAATCACTCCGTCCAATGTGACCTGTAAGTTTTTACTACATGAAAACTTAACACCCTTACATGTTTCGGTCTCTGTGGACCATCCTCAGAGGGCAAACATCACTACAAATAGGAAACCACCATCACATAAGTTTTTACACGTAAAGTACGTACAGCACAGCAGCCACGAGCAAACCCTGGACGATATAAAGAACCTCCACATCAAGATAGCCAGGTGGCACAATATCTGCCCCATATAAGAGGGGCGATGGGAGGACGAACACGAGCCTGCATGGTTTACGAATTTTAATTATTGACAATCCAAAAAACTTTTAATTGGCATCAAGAAATTTTATACAATTTTTTAAAAAACTTTACATTCCCAGGAAACTGCTGTGTTTGTGAAATGTTCTATCTAGTGTACTTTGTGTTGTAGGATATAAGTGTACGTACTTTACGTGTAAAAACTTATATGATGGTGGTTTCCTATTTGTAGTGATGTTTGCCCTCTGAGGATGGTCCACAGAGACCGAAACATGTAAGGGTGTTAAGTTTTATGTAGTAAAAGACTTACAGGTCACATTGGACGGAGTGATTTATATTTGTATACATCTTGTTAAACACTGGGAAAGTGCGTTTGAATCCCACTCATGACATTGATGTAGGCCTATATCATTTCTGTGTCTGATTAGTCATGTGCAGGTACAGGCATGGCAGTGGATCGATTTCAAGTCCAAGGAACCTAACCAACATCCTTCGAAATTCGTAGTATCAGAAATTATTTCTGAATGGAAATAGGCCCAAAGTTTAAGCTGTAAAAGGAAGAAAAAGATGAGTGTAAAATTTAAGAATAACTTCGCAGATTAAACTGATCAGTACTCTAAGTAACCAAAATACCATATTTAGATTTTCACAAATATAACCTCATCAAATAACAGTCGAAACTCTACATAAGAATTCAAAGTTACACTGACGTGCAAACATACTTGTATTACAGAGTGTGTATCTGTTATAAGTTGGTACACATCGATATACGTAATATTACCGTATTTTCATATTCTGAAAACATGTTATCGCTCTGAACTTTCATTAAGATACGAAACTAGTTAAAAGCCCCACATTGCAGGTTAAGTTGTCCCATACAAAAATCACTTGCGATGATATGTAAACAGACGGTTCTGAGTGATGGAACGGGAAACAGCTTACCTGCTTGTAGACACATAAGCAAGAAGCAAATACCGATTGCATTTACGTTCATCTCCGCGTAGTGACCGCCTGGTAACTGCAGTATCTCACAATGCGTCCACCTCCCCCCACCCCCCTTCGCGCTGAATATCATGAACGCCCACACTTGTGACCTTCCCGCATCTGACGTAACGTACTTCTTGTTGATGACTTCTGCGGATTCCGTTGCATAAAGAACTTATTTTCTTATGATGAAACCAGTAGGAACAACAGATTGACACTTGTACAGTTAATCATCCATTTACGTCCATTATTCGAAGACGGGATAGCTCATTCGGTATTGGGACAGGTTACGGGCTGGACGGCCCGTGTTCGAATCCCTGCAGGGGAAAGTTCTTTCTCTTCTCCACAGCGTCCAGACCGGCTCTGGGCTCCATCCAATCTTCTATCCAATGGGTACCGGTGGATTTTCCCCAGAGGTGAAGCGTGAAGCGTAACCATTAACTTCCATCTAATACAGAGGACAAAAACGGTGGAATTATACCTCCCCCCCCCCATATGTTTTCATGGCATTGTTCTTAATTAATTTTGCATAGGAACAACTTTGTCCTTTTTACCTTCGTGTTCATTATTTTCACTAGCACACAATTCTATGCTGTGCAGTTTATTGGATGTAACATGAAAGCGTCTCTACAGGCTAACTGTTAACACGTACAAATGTTTCACACATAATTGCTCTGCATGCTTGTGGTCACTCTCCACACACGCTACACCACTAGCCATCGCCACCAGATCGACCGCCAAACACATACACGTACTTCGCGCAGTAGCCATGTTGTTAGGCTACAAAAAGTAGCGTAACAAATGCTGCATATCTATTACCTCATAACAGAATACTACATTTACTCGTATATCACTTCAACCTCACAAGTTCGCACGTCAGCCATGATGGTAGGATTGGTAATGAAATAACAAAAATTGTTCAGGAAGGGGGGGGGGATATACACAGTGTGTCCAAATTCTGTTAGGACTGTGTTCATTAAAAATACAAGACGTGAATTATTTTTAAAATTTCACTCTTTTTATTCAAAACATTCTCCTTTTGAATCAATACATAGCTGGACTCAATTGAACAGTTTTTGAATACAGTCACTGTACTCCTTTTGTGGAATCTCATTTAAAACTGCGGTATATTCCCTTTTGATGTCCTGGATGGTGTCGTGACGGTCTCCTTTAATAGCCAACTTAACTTTTGGGAACAACCAGAAATCTTCTGGGGCCAAATCTGGCGGATACCGAGGATGATTAAGGACTGTGATCCCTTTTCTGGCCAAAAAATCACGCACGATCTTCGATATGTGTGGTAGGACATTGTCGTGGAGGAGCGACCAGGAACCTTGCTCTCGATATTCAGGTCGAATTCGAAGAATTCTTGCCCACAAACGTTTGAGGACTCCGAGATAATAATCATAATTCACTGTTTCACCTTCTGGCAGAAAGTCCTTGTGAATGATTCCTTTGGAATTAAAGAAAACGGTTAGCAGTGTCTTTACTCGACTCTTTTGCATGCGCGCTTTCTTTGGTTTCGGCTTCTTTGCGCTCAACCACGCTGCACTCTACCGCTTTGTGAGAGGCTCATATTGAAAATTCCATGTCTCGTCACCAGTAACAATCGATTTTGTAAATTCTGTAACGCTTTGGGCCGACCATAACGTGTCTTTGCAGTATTCCACTCTGGCATGTTTTTCATCGACTGACAGCGCGTGCGGTACAAACCTCACACAGACCTTCTGTTTGCCAAAATCCTCGGTCAGAATTTGATGTATAGTATTTTCTTTTTTTGTATTCTCAAAAGCTCCTCGAGGAGTCTTACAGAAGCACAGCTGTCTGATGCAAGGATTTCGGTCATTTTTTTTACATTTTATTCAGTGCGACTTGTTCTTTGCTTTGATGCACGCGGTGCGTCTTCAATGTCCTTTCTGCCGCCACGAAATGCAGCATACCATCGAAAAATGTTCGAGCGACTCAAACAATCACTACCGTACACACTTTCATCATTTCGTACGCTTCTCCGGCTGTTTTGTCTAACTTCAAACAAGATTTGATGTTGGCTCTGTTCAACCGCCATTTTCCGACGAGCGTCAGAACAGTACTGTTACATTCAAGGTCAGAACACATGATGCAGCAATGCTTGCGCTTTGAAATTATAGACAGCCACAGCTGAAACTTCAAGAATCTTAACGCCACAACTCGCCAATAGATGGCATTGCAGGGAAATTAAAAAAAAAAAGTTCTAACGGATGCTGGACACACCGTGTATATCCATTCGTCAGTCAGTTCAATAGTGAACAAGAAGGACAACGAAAACAGGGAATGTTGACTGAAATGATATAATTTTCTGTTTTCATTAGTGAAAACCAAACATCATAAAACGTTGTGAAATATCTACATTTTCTTCACGTCCCTTCCGCTTAGTGAAGTTGTTTTATAATATTAATAGGGACTGCAGAATAACATTGTAAGAGTATTGAATTACGTAATTTCATACCAACAAAAAAAAGACTGGTTCAGAGTAAGCAAATATGTTCCTCAAATCTCGCAAAAAGCAAAATAAATATCTACTCATGGGTATTAAATGTTTCTAGAGATATTCACTGAAAAATTTCTAAAGTTTTGGTTTGTGCTGATGAAAACTTATGCATATTTAAACCCATCTGTCGATCAGACGACCAGTGGGCGTGTAAGGCTTTGTATTACACGAATCATCTGGCGTCACCAGTCTCGCATTAAACCTTCTTCACTTCGTTCTAGCTGCAGCAATGGCCTCGTTTCCGGTTGTGTTTAACAAATGCTCACTACTTCTGTTCATTTGTGAGTATTGACATATTTCACTTGAATTAGTATTAAAAAATAGTTTCATAAACATCGTAGAGGTAAAGGTAATATTATTCCTGGGCTTAATTAAGTGCCAAGCCATGAGGATGTATGGGGGAGTGGAGTCATAGCTCCATCATTCTGGAACTTGGCACTAGATAGCGATGAATGGTCAGCTTCACGCCCCGGATGCTTTACCTCTGGAGAAAGAGTCCCGTTCTTATTGTGTTGGAGTCTGGGTGTGCTCCAGAACCGGTCTGGAGGTTATGGGGATGAAAAGTATCTCTTTCCCCTACCAGGAATGAAACCCCGATTCTTCGATCACCCAGCCGTAACCCAGTAGCTATACCGACCGAGATATCCCTCGAAATATTGTTTCCTATCAGCAGTAAATGAACTGCTTGCCCGAAATGCAGTATGAGAAACAGCTCAGAACGAGCCTCTCTAAGCGGTATGTATCGCTTAACTTCAGTGTCTGGAGGGTCGTTTGAGCTGGTTCGAGCTGACGACTTCAAGTGTCCAGCCCTGACGCCCACAACGACGGAGCGTCGGCTGAGGGCCAGATACTTCTCGCAAGATACCCTAAACCGTGCTGTTCATCGCGACAACAATACTGTGGATGTCAAACTTCGTCTTGTGCTGAGGAAATTTGATTTCGTGAGTACTTACCTACTTACTTTCCTGCGCCTCACTCTTCTGACCCCCAAGAACCTTGGCCGACTCCCCGACAGAGATCGGTTCTACTCTATAACATTTTCTCCATCTTACAGCAATGTCAATCTGAGCTTCCTCACCTCATGGCTTACTCTGACGCTTCTGTCCTCACTAAACTCAGTACATTCCAAGTAGTAACTCGGTAATACCAAGTGAAATTGGGATCACAATGGCCGCGCGGTCTAAGGCATGAATTGTCTTCGCTCGCCCGGTCTCTGGGATCATGGATTCGAATCCCACTCAAATGATGGATGTTTGGTGTGTGTGTTTATTCTGTGTTTGTGTTCTCCCGTGTTTAGATGGAGGCCTTGAGACGGGCTGATCACTCGTCCAAGGAGTCCTACCGTCCCTGAATGGGCTGGAAGGGCCATTGAAAAGAAATACCAATGAAATCGTCTTGACATCCCTTCAGAATAAGGTGCAATTAATTTTCCTTGTAATCTCTCTTTTGTAATTTTACTGAATTATCCATCCGACATCGCCTGCTGCTTTTCTTAAAATATTTTATTCTCTGTTGTGGGGTTTTTAATCTCCACGCCCAATCTCCAGCCTGGCTGACAGAAGGAGGCTATCTTTCTAGCCAATTCTCTTCTGTATGACTGACCCTACCAAGAATTGATGGCATCGCTAGCATAATTTTCCAGGTGATTAGGGCAAGCCAACCTCCCGTCCTATTTGCGGTAGCAGTTTAATTCTTTGACTCCGGATTATTTAAAGTGTGCGCTAAATAAACTAGATAAGTGAGTCATGCAGAAGTTGTCGTGACTTTGGAAATGACAATTTTGAAAGATTATCATAAGCAGAACGCGAGATCCACCATTGTTTCAGGCCTGGAACTATAAATACAGACGCCAGAATGCTATTTATTTAAAACAAAACATTAAAAAGTCTAAATTTAACGCCGGTTAAATTTACGAACTTGCAAATGACTATGCTGTCAGTATAGCATTAGCTAAATGAGGTGCGACATCACGTGCTTTACAAAAAAATAGACTGCATACAATTGCAAATGTACAATACAAACATCATTAAATAATATTTACAAAGTGCATGTATACACTATATTATAATGTGTATGTATGAAACATTTATTACCATAACGATCTGTGGATATGTATTCCTGAGAACGTCTAAGACATCTGACAAAGGACAGACCTCGCTTTCGCCCAATGACAACTGTGGTTAATTGTGAGATATGTTACTTAACATATGTCATAAGCACAGAAAGGGACCTAACACCAACAGGGACTAACTGGTGGACCGTTAGTCATAATAAAAAAATCTTCTGGATTTATGTATCTCTCCTTGAAGAAGAGAGAGAAACTCTCGAGACATTGATACACCATTCCACGACAACACAGCGTCATCAACTAAGAATAGAAGCAAAATTAAGTACAACCAACAGTGAAGTGCTGAAGATTGTGGTGTGCTCTTGATGAGAAATAACTCAAATTACTCCGATGGGGATGACCTTCGGTGGCATGCAATTAATACCACGGCGTGTAAGTAAATATAGGAGTTTTTGAAAATGAACTTCTACTGTTCCTTTTCCGATATTTTAGTTCGCAAATTTGAATTACTCATAAGAGAGAATTACTATTCTTATTCTTCTTCCGTCAATGTCTGAAATTATCAATAATTAATTCTGGCTGCGAGTTATTGTGTCTTACGGAGCGTCGAAACCTAAGCCTCTTTGCGAATATTGATTATCATAGCAATGAAAATCAACAGCAGTTTGATTTCGGGCTTCAGGCTCAACACCTAAAACTGAATAACTTTCATTTCATGCATCCTATTGTGTTATAATATACAACTTCTTTATTAAAACCGTCACAACACAACTATATCAAGGTCAGTGCCTAGTTTTGTCTCTGCTACATGCTTCGGCTATTAATAGCCATCTTCAGGCAAATACATGGCTAACATGTATACACCACTGAACCGCAGTAATGATAAAATTGGATACAATATTATTAATTATATAAAATACTTGACGTAAAAATAAAATAAATTTGTTTATATAAAACAAAAGTTATAGTATGAAACAAGAATAAAATTCTTCGATTGATGCTTTACATCATCGAGTCAGTCATTGGTTTTTGTAATTTTGTTCATTTAAAATCATACAGAAGTAATATTCAATATTTATTACCTTTACAGAACGAGGAAGAAGATAAACTCGAAATCCACAGCTGGTTCGCAATAGTAAGTAGAACTGTCAATGTTGTTTTGGTTTTCGTAATGTGATATCTTTGTTAAAATTGTTTATTTTTAGATATTCATATTATTCAAGATACACTACTAAGTCTAATTCATCGTATACTAATACAGCAGTATTCACCTACTTAAATGTAATCTAATACAACAGTATTCACCTAATTCAATGTAATCTAATACAGCAGTATTCGCCTAATTCAATGTAATATAATACAACGGTATTCACCTAATTCAATGTAATCTAATACAGAGGTATTCACCTACTTCAATGTAATCTAATACAGAGGTATTCACCTACTTCAATGTAATCTAATACAGCAGTATTCACCTACTTCCATGTAATCTAATACAGAGGTATTCACCTACTTCAATGTAATCTAATACAACAGCATTCACCTAATTCAATATAATCTAATACAGCAGTATTCACCTAATTCAATGTAATCTAATACAACAGTATTCACGTACTTCAATGTAATCTAATACAGCAGTATTCACCTAATTCAATGTAATCTAATACAACAGTCTTCACGTACTTCAATGTAATCTAATACAGCAGTACTGAACTAATTCAAGGTATACTACTGCAGTGATATTCAGCTCATTGAAAGCACACTATCACCATGATATTCACCTGATACAAGCTATACTACCACCACAACGTTCGCCTAATTAAACATACACTACTGAAATTGCATTTGCCTAATTCAAGGTAAACTACCACAGTGATATTGTCATGTGTCATAGTGACTAAAGACACGGGTTTGGATTGGTAATTGGATTTATTGGATACTTACATGTAGTAACTATAAATAATTATTATACTGTTGCTGATTTACACAATTTACAATCACTCCACAACAATCTTCTCAGTCTATCTGCACTAACCCTCACGCATTTTTAGCACAGGAACTACAACAGCCGCCAAGCAGGCAGTCGACCTTTCTCTTCGTTTTCTTTCTTCAGCTAACATTATGTTCCGTCTCCGTCCACAGCACTGGAAAGATTGCCGATCTGCCTGGGATCCGTCCGCCTTCGATAACATACGCGAAATTCGCCTTCCCAGTTACTTCTTCTGGAAGCCAGACATCGGCGACTTCTCTTCGTGAGTAGTTAACGGTCTGCTTATTTCTTTAGCACCAATCACAGTGGCAGCGCTGTCTAAGGCATAAAATATCTTCGCCTGTTTGAACACTGTGATCGTTAGTTAGCATCCCGCTCAAGGCATGGATATCTGTCTGCGTTTATTCTATGTTTGTACTATCCTGCGTAGGTAGCGGTCCGTCTGTCTAAGATTAAGAAACTGAAGTGAAACGAGGCGTTTCGGGGATTCCCTTTGCTCCAAGTGGGAACAACAGGAAATATTGCTTTAGACGAACACTCTGCTAAAGTGTGATCTGTTAGGCTGACAATTCCAGCTGCAGATTATCTTATTCATCCCGTCCAATTAGCATACATTATGTTAAGGAAACAGATATAATCCAACCAACTAACTCCATGGAGGAAAGTCTTTCTTGAGAAGCTTTCAGTTGATCAGCTGCTCAAGATTTTCCCAACATTTTATGAAACCCGAAGGTTCATTAGTGTTCATAAGAGCCCGCCGCTCGAAGCCAGATCAGCCAGATTAATCCAGTCCATACAACCTCATCTTACTTCTCTGAGATGAATTTTGATACTCTCCTACCCTATAGGTCTACGTCTTCCTAATGATCTGTTCCCATCCGGCTTTCCCACCAAAACCGTGCAATAATGCCTCTTCTATCCCATTTGTGTTACATGCCCTGCCTGTCTCATCGTACTTGATCATTCTATCTGGCGAAGAGTGCACGTTTTGAAGCTACTTAGTATGCCAATATTCTCCTCAGCACCCTGTTCTCAGACACGTTCAGTCTGTGTTCTTCTCTTCATGCCAAAATGGGGTTTCACACCCATACAAAACTATAGGCAAAATTAAGATCTTGCAGGATAATATAAATAAGTTTCTGTTCCTTCTCTCCTTTCGGGTGGTTATTTAACGACGATGTCAGTATCGTGATTACATGACGTCAGGAAATAGGACGATTAAATGAATGATGAATTGTGAAGGATTTTGTAGGAACCTTTAGTGGCATAATTAATTAATTGTAACCCAGAATTTGCCTAGAGGGGCTAAGGAAGACCAGGAGAAAACTTAGTCAGTGTAGCCGGAGCCCCGGCCGAGAATATAACTGAGTACTTGCCATCTACAAGTCTAGAGCGTTACTCCTAGACCATGCTTCTTCTGTTATCTGTGTTACAACACAGTAGTGACAATCGTATGCTTGACAGAGGCATGGGATGAAGCATAAGCCAAAGTATTGCAGATACCTGTACTCTGGTTTATTATTGTGCGTCAAAATGGTGAAATGTGGACTTTCAATTAAAGTTCGGTGAGATTAGTTAAACCACAGAGCATATGAGTGTGACCTAGCCTTTCCTTGAGGAATAAATGTGAAAGAGAGCAAAGCCTTTCATTGCTACATGTTCTTTTAACAGCTTCTGATTAAGTAGCATGTACTACTCTTCATCAAGCGAGTATCGTCATATCTAAAATTTCGGAGTCAGTGTTACTTTACTACTGGCCATTCAGTTGGTCTTGGCAACAAGTCCCTTGAGTCTCACGACCAGTAATTTTATTTTCCAACTGAATACTGCTGTTATAGTCCTTACGTAACATCCTCTCTGAAAAGAGGATTGATCTGCTGTTTATAATTGCTGCTGGTCCTCGTCAGCGCAGTCATTCACATGTCCGAGCCCCGCGAGACTCATGACCATATTTTACTGTCTCAGATTCGAGACTCCCGCAACGTGGAAGGTCAGGTCCCCGTATTTATATCCAGCAGTAACATGGTGACCTGGTTTAGCCCCAGGCACTGGGTTCCCTTTTCGTCGGCTCCTACTACTCGCGGAGCTACGGTGGAGGTACTCGACCCCGCCTCCACACGGGATCTCTTCTAAAATTTTATTCACTTTAAACCATTTATAAAGGAAACGTGCTTTCGACAAAGCATATACAGACCGTAAATCTCCATTGAATTCATGTTCGTGCTGCGCATCATGAATGTTGCTTCTTGTAAATTATAATCTACACTTATCGTGGCTTCTTTGCTTATTTGCTAGCAGATATATCTTGGCTTGTGAGCCACTGTGTGAAAATGAAGATGGTTGACAGGCCCAAAACGCGTCTGCCAGAAAATGCTACTGCCATACGAGTATTATCTAACGAACTCCATGGAGCTGAACTCTTCTGGAGAAGCCGCCAATCCCCAACTTTCACGGAACCAGAAGGTTCATTACCGTGTTCACAAGAGCCCTCTACTGGTCCTTATCCTGAGCCAGATCAATCGAGTACATACCACACCATCCTATCAATTTTAATATTGTCCACCCATCTATGTCTTGATCTTCCCAGTGGTCCCTTTCCTTCTCGCTTTCCCACCAACATCTTATATGCATTCCTCTTCTCCCCATTCGTGCTACATGCCCTGCCCACCTCATCCTCCTGACTTGATCATTCTAATTATACTTGGAGGAGAGTACAAGTTATGAAGATCCTCATTATGCAGTTTTCTCCAACCTCCTGTCAGTTCTCCTCTCTTCGGTCCAAATATTCTCCCCAGCACCCTGTTCTCAAACACCCTTAGTCTATGTTCCTCCTTTAATGTCAGAGACCAAGTTTCACACCCATATAGAACCACATGCAAAATTATAGTTTTGTATATTCTAATTTTTATATTTTTGGACAACAGACGAGAAGACAAAAGGTTCTGGACTGAATGGTAGCAAGCATTACCCGAGTTCAATCTCCTCTTAATTTCCTCCTGCATCAGGTTTTCATTTGTTATCGTAGTTCCCAAATATCTGAACTATGCCACATTTTCAAAGGACCGTTTTTGTGTCGACAGGTTTTGAAGAGACAGCAGACAAGCGCCATACGTGAAGGAAATTCGTCATTGATACTTTCCTCGCGGGAGAATTCGTCGAGGCGACTGGGGAGACCGCTCCAAGCCTCCACAAAACAGAAACGGAATTCAGAGATTTTACTGAGACATTTGCTTCTCTAAAATCATTAGAAATTAATTGGCATTTTAGTTATTATGAGAAATATGAGGGGGCACGCGGTAGCGTAGCTGGTTGAGGCACTATGCTACAAGCCGGAAGGTAACGGTTCGATTCCCGATAAGGCCATTGGACTTTTTCAATTGACCTAATCCTTCCAGCTGCGCTATAGCTTTGGGCTGGACTCAGCTTCTAACAGAAATGAGTACCAGGAATCTTCCTGAGGGGTAAAGGTCGTAAGGCTGACAACTTCACCGCCATCTTTAAGCCGATTGTCTATATGATGTGGGAGCCCCTACGTCTCACAACCCCGTGGGCCTTCGCGGCCTGTTACAAGGATAACTTTGCCTTTTAAGAGAAATATGAAAAAAGAAGCAATTGTCCTGGACTAAATTCAGTTTTAGTGATAGGGACTTCCACGTTGATATTGCCCAGGGGCCCCGGTAACCGTGATTCCAGCCCTGCTTGTTGACTGTTTTATTTTCCTCGTAATTTGTTTTGTTTTGTATTGCAGTATTTTGATTTTTATTGTGCCCTTATGTTATAGACTCTCCTTGTCTGTATCAGTGTAAGGTCTGCTGCCACCAGGTGAACACCCAATTGCAGTAAAATAATTATAATAATTTATACGTACAGTGACCCGTATTTCTGCGAAAACTCACAGCAAATGCATTTAACAGCCTCTCATTGAAATTGACTTTCTTTGCAGTGCTGATATGGCGAAAACGTTCCCTCTGTTTCGCTGGTTCATGTGCATACTCTACTCGGACGGTTCCATCATGTGTATGCCACCTTACAATCACGTAGTGACCTGCTCGGCCGACTTGACGCGCTGGCCATACGACACCCACACTTGCACCATGACGACCGGTTCCTGGACTCACACCGCCAGAGAAATGAACATTTCGCTCATGGAACCGGCTGTAAGAACAGAATCCAGAGACATCTATATCAGAACTCCGAAAGCTGCGTGGGTCATAATGTCAGAAATGATTCTGAGACATATTCAATGAGGAGAAAGGAAAAGGTTTCAAATGAAATCTGCAGAGATTAAGAGATATCTGTTTTATATATTAAATTTTTGTACGATAAATAACTAAGAAAATTATTGGAGAAAACTTCAGCTTCACAACAAGTATGATTTTTTAAGATAGTTACGGACTTGACGCAAATCCGCCCCAAATTTTTAGTGTCAAATGTCATTAATATTACGTTTCGAATTGAAATCCTGTTTAACCATTTTTTACAATCGTTCCAAAAGAAAAGTGTGTTCCAACATTCTTTGTAATTATGTGGAACAGTAAGTAGGTTTTGTTCTGTCACCAGATTGTTGTCAACAGTCGCAGCTTAAACCGGGAATGGAAACTGGCATCTATGAAATCCTATAAGAATATTTCGAAGTACGATTGTTGCCCAAACGATACATTCAGCTGGGTGTCATTTGAGTTCATGTTGCAGAGACATCCGGGTGGATATTCCTCCACAGTCGTCATGCCTGCCGTAGGTGAGTAGTTGACTTTTAAATAAATGAGAGTTTTCTCTTTTCTTGTTAAACTACTGCCATTAATTTGCGCAGTAAAATGTATATGTATGTTCGCGTCCTGTCCACACGGCTGTCTGTCCGCATGTGTGAATGGCTGTCCAGCAAAACATAACACATGACGAACATCCTTTTTTCTTTGGCTCTACAGCCCCCTTGGGCCTTGGCCTCTGATCTGAACGGTGGCTACACTGACCTGTGTCTATATAGTGCGTGTATTGGTTACTACAGTGTTGGTGCTGCTGACACTGCTGACGTTCTGGATGGACCCAACAGAAATGGATCGTCTGATACTGGCAACTGTGGATGTGGTCTCCCATATCCTGTTCCTCCAGCACCTGGGGCACCTCCTGCCGGCCAATGGCGATCAGACGCCTCTCATAAGTAAGAGTTCGTTGCAACTTTACCTCCTTGAGAAGGTTACATTCGCTCAACCACACGGAAATTTTATTTATGTACTAGTAGATCAGCGGTTCATTGGCCTGTTCAGATGAGTCCGCCATTAGTTCCTATCCTTAAATGAATCCAGTTTTATAAGCTCCAAATTTATTCTTTAACGTATACTTTAATATTATCCTCCCACCTATGCCTAAACCTCCGAAGCGGCCCTTCACTTTTTCTGGTTAAAACTTTGTGTGAATTTCTCATCTCTCCCATGTGTGTTACATAATCTGTTCACCTCCTTCTCTTTTCTGATCATGTTAATGATTTTTTGTCAAAATTAAAAATTATGAAACGCTCTACTGTGCACTTTTCTCCAATTTCCTTTAACTTCGCCCCTCATAAGTCCAAATATTCTCCTCCGTCCTTCGTTCTTATATATCTTCAAATTTCATGTCCTTCCCTTAGAACGAGAGGCCAAGTTTCGCGTCTATAAAAAAAGTTATAAAATAATACTACAGAATTGCATTTCAATATATTTCAGTCATAGATTTTCAGGAAGAGAAACATTCTGAACTGAAAGGCAGCAAGCATTGCTAGAAGCTAATCTGCTCCTACTTTCTTCATTAAAGTAATTTTGGTTCTTTAGTGCCATTTTCAAATATTTTAAATTTACTAAATTCTGGAATGATCTGTCATTGATCTTCACATTACGATTTTGTTCTGTATGAGCTGTGATTATATTTTTGGTTTATATTATACATTTTCAAATGTTTTTCAAAAAGACTTCCAAAACGTTTAACTAACGAAAAATAACGTCTTCATATCTTTAGCAGATGCAGGGGACAGTATCTTGCTGTCACCGTGTTTTCAGCGAGTGGCCTTCGTATCAAAAATGGGATATCAGTTCGGGGTTTTTACTCCGGTTTCGCCAGTAATTTACAACGAAAAACCCTCCAACTAGAAGTACTAAGTCACATAATATTCTTCCTTTATTCATTGCATTCTGTTTTGTTATAGAATCACGGTATAAAGGGGCCGCCTATAAAACATTTATTTTACTTTTCTGTCACGGAGGTAACACAAGAATTTTCAACATTTACCAGAACTATGATAGAAAAGGCTAATGTACAATTGTACGCTTAGTGAAACTTACTTGATCTTTGACATCATTTTGTACTAAGACAATATTCCTACTGGTTTTCTGACAGTAATTTTCTATCGGGACTCCATGATCTTGGCGGCCATGGCGTTGTTTGCATCTGCTCTGATACCGGATCTGAGGAAGTCATCTATGAATCTTCCTCTTTGGGCTTCCGGTCTTTCCAGTTGGGTCCTACAGAACCGGTTTGGTTACATCTTTGTTTTACGGACCTTAGATCAAAAGGTAAGTTTCAAGCTTGTACTAAGCTGGTACATGCTAATTTAGACACAGTCTTGGAAACTGTGCAGTTGAGTGTGCATATTCAGTTCTTTCAAACTGGCCTTAGTCTTTCTCGGCCTGTAATAATGTGTAATTTCAATTTTCGGGGTTTAGTCGTGCCGTGTGTGGAAGCAGTTCCAGCTTTTCGACGTATATTATAGCAGTCATCTTCAGAGTGACTGAGGCGACCTTGCAGTGGCTGCATTGTTGCCTGCTCCTTCAGCCAGCCCTGTCTTCTCAGTAATGGTCCTTGCTTCCATCCTAGATCAGACTGCGAAGTACAACGAGGCGGTTTTGCTCTTTCCACTTGGATGCCTTCTCAATGAGAAGAACAGAGACCAAAGATGGTCCTCTTGGCACCAGAGACACACTGGATGCCGTTTACAGTGTACCCAGATATGGTTAAAAAGCTGAAATTTGTAATACTGCATTAGACTAGTCTGGACCCTACAGGCTTCGTTTATTGAAAATGTTGGAGAGGGTTGGAGGAATGAGTATCATCTGTGATTTCTGATACCGTGCCCGAATGCCTAGGAGCAGGGACAATGAAATGACTGTTACATGATCCTCCGACGAGGGGCCTCTGGCTGTCACAGAATAGTTTACGTTGCTAAGTTCATTTCACATAGTTACGTCAGATTGTACACCGTCTAAAAGGAAATCATATCTTCTGTGATAAAACGTCGTGTAGTCCTTTGAAAGTCAACCGACGTTTCGGAAGAAAATATTACCTCCATCTTCAGGGTTGAAGAATAATAAAAGAATATGAAGCAAGTAGCAAGTAAAGCTGATTGTCATTTGCTTGACGGTCGAGATGTTGAAAGTCAGCTCAACTTCTCTGATGAGGCACTTGGGAAGCGGTAGCTCGGTTCCTACCCTGAGAGGCTTATCAGGCTTGGGACGGGACATGAAATTATAGAGGCTGCGTTTTGTGAGGTAGAACACCGTAATTGTTCAGTCGCCACGCCATGGGCGATGTTACAAGTATCTGTTCCCGTGGACCACACTGCAAACGGATTTCACAGCTGTAATTAAATTATTGTGACGTTTTAAGCATAAAACCTAGTTTCGCGAGTACAGAATAGAACATTTAGGCCTATATCGACCAATTTTGGGCACAATTTCATACAGCGGCCAGTTTTTTTCGCTTGCGATAGGGGCTCTGTTAATGCTGCAGTGATCTCCAGGTTAGGCATATGGAACTTCAGACGGAAATAGTCACTTTATTGTATAAGAATAATTAATGCTTCAATTATTATTTAACGAAACCACGTCACTAGTAGGCAAGTCAAAGTAATAACTACATTTTGTCAACTATTTACAGAGCGTCGGTGCAGTGTCAGAGACGCCCCGAGGGGGGGATGGTGCTGACTCCCCAGGGCCCAGCTGGCCACTCTTTACGTCACTGCTCGACTTCCTGTGCTTTGTGGTCACCTTGTTGTCATACGTCACACTTTTGCTGGGATACATTCCGTAGGAAACATATGTACTTCGCAAAAAAGATAACTTGAAGGAATCCTAATGAATTGTAATGGGGAGACGGTGATTAGAATAAGAGATAGAAGACCTATCCATTGGCATATGCAGTTTTTTCCCCAAACAATTCTGTAAAGCTTCGATTATTTACCTTAGGTCTGAAATACAATACCATTATTTTTATGTTATTTGCAAGAAGTTCGTAAGGCGAAGCTATAATGGGAAGGACGTGTGTGCCTTTTCACCTGTTTCATTTCCAAAACTTCTGAGAAAGTATTATTATTTTGGTATTGGTAGTCTAGGATGAACCTTATCGAGAGAATTCAATTCTTCGTATGTTCTGGAGGCGTCTGATTCACATCTCAGCCGGGACCTCATGAAACTTGGGGTCTTAATCTCTCCAGACAAATGGTGAGCTAGCGATCTTAAATTGAGCCTATCGCCTCCTTCCACGTCTTGTCCGATTCATTATTCATTGTTATCCACCGTTAGGCGTCGCCAAATATACTACAAGCTACAAACTGACTACATATTAAACAAATCGAAGTTAATTAATTTCCTCAAAAAAACTGTTCACAGTAAAAATGCGTACAATGGCACAAAACGTAGACACAATTTTCCTTAAAGTATTTTCCGGTACCATGAATACACAGTGTATGTAATGAAATGGCTGCAGTTCCTATTAATATAGCATTTATAAGGTGACAAAAATACTCTACATATATTCAAGCATATTTATGACGTACGAGTAGAGGGTAAGAACACGCAGAGCTATACACTCCTCTGCAACTCCAGAAGAGTTCACGGCTTAGTGCGTAATTCTGAATAGGGACAACTTTGCCTCTGCGATGGCCTTTCCCTTGAATATTCAATCGGCATGTCATGCAAGCAAGTTTCTGCACACGGGAGAACGAAGAGAAGTGACGGTAGTAAAATGGGGCAATAATGATTCAACATGAAGGCTTTGTACAACACTCTACTGAATTTCATGAGCCCATGCAATAGTTAGGCTAATAATCCAATTAATATGTACTGGTACTTGAAAGAGAGCTTTAATAAAGTTGTTATAGGTAAATGTTTGACTGGTCCCTTTCCTTTTAAAATTCTCCATTCGTTTTAGATTTCATTAGAGAGGTCTAAGAAAACAAATGAGAACTGGATATAAATGGAACACACCAGATTCTTGTAAGTTATATATGATGATCTCACTTAGTTGGAGAGTCGATATACACTGCGTGAAATGTATGAGAACTCTAGGTCAGCTAGATATTAGCACTGAAGTTAGTCAAGATGTAAACTCAGAAATAATATTGTCACGTGTTTGGTGGTTCAATCGGCTTCCAGTTCGGATAATTAGATTTATTAGCACTTCCATTACAGTTTCTCTTAATCACACTTAAATACCGCGCTATCGCTGACTTATATAGTTTCCAGTTCACCGTTGCACACGCAGTAGGATTCCCCGTCTTCACTAGTCAACAAATGTGTTTGCTGTTCACTGTCTGTTGATGAGTCAACCTACCTCATCCCAGCAGCTTCATTGTTTCGCGTTGCGTAACATCTGATTTTGAAGTGTTTGACCTCTGTCAAACTACTCGTATGTGTCTCCATTCAATGCAAGGCCAGGCAATCGGATCGGATTTCATTCAGTCACTACTGTGTAACCTTCATTAGCATAATTTCGAACTATCTAAGCTTACAGGCATAGTCACTATGCCTAGTAGCCTTCTACAGCCATTCCTATAACAAGCATGGCGCCTTCTCTACAAGTACATGCATAAGGCCTCCAGAATTTAATCCATGCAGTGCAGAATCTTTACTGTCCATCGGCAATGCTGAATTCGCAACGATCTTAGATATAAATGAATTATGACTGATGCTGCCGGCGAGTTTAATTTTATTAGGTCTTGCNGACCTCTGTCAAACTACTCGTATGTGTCTCCATTCAATGCAAGGCCAGACAATCGGATCGGATTTCATTCAGTCACTACTGTGTAACCTTCATTAGCATAATTTCGAACTATCTAAGCTTACAGGCATAGTCACTATGCCTAGTAGCCTTCTACAGCCATTCCTATAACAAGCATGGCGCCTTCTCTACAAGTACATGCATAAGGCCTCCAGAATTTAATCCATGCAGTACAGAATCTTTACTGTCCATCGGCAATGCCGAATTAGCAACGATCTTGGACATAAATGAATTATGACTCATGCTGCCGGCGAGTTTAATTTTATTAGGTCTTGTAGTCATTTCGAGGCTTTTCTTCAGGAAAATGAACACGAGTGCGGTGGCACTGTGTACTGTGAATTTCATTACCTTAGCAAAGGTAAGGTAAGGTAACTTGCTATGAGAAGATTTTAAAGTTTTCCTTGCTGAAAAACGACAACCACTCACTCACACTGAAGGTGCAAGACGCATGTGTGATCTAGACTTTTTGAAACATATTGGAGAGCACTTGAATGACATACGTCGTAAATAGGAGGGGGTGAAACCAAACTGGACACTTATAACAGTTACGAGCTGAAAAGTCACACCACAATCGGACACTTTAAGCTAAGAGAACATAAAACACAGTGGTCTGTATGTGAAAATAGAAGAGTAAAATGAATGAAAAAATAGTTCTCATTATGACCAGTCACAATATTCTATCAGAATATTTTACACAGCGTCAAAAAAAGTGAACTCCATTCTGAAGAGTAAAACATAAAAATGGCATCTGAAAAGCCCAACAATTTATCAGAAAATAGTGAAAACCTAATGAGGGCACTAACTGATTTTCTTGATACACATACTCGACCCTGAAAGCACGTATGTCTGAGGTTCGAAGTAAAAACTTTCCACCGTATTGAAGAGAGCTGAAGAAGCTTTAACACGGCTTCATGGAAACGGAAACCAGTGTCATTTTGTGGATGAAAAGTACACAAGCACCTTTGTGTTTATGTGTACACAAAACTTGCAAATTCTGCAGACTGTGACAGGCATCTTCGTAGCTGATACATTTTCTTGTGAAGCAAATATTCCCAACAACTAGACCCATTTACAGTAAGTATTTGGAAGTGTTGTCTCTATATGCCGGTAGTCTAAGCTTCTTACTTTCGAAATGCACCAAAGCCTACATTGAGATGTGGACCGCAGTCAAAGAAATTGTCAAGATTTGACTGGCTACTAATTGCATATTGCAGCATGTGAATTCGAGAGAAGCGCTCACATTGCAGAGAGAGATGCATTTACATTGCACATTTCAGCCGCTGCCGATTTTATTTGGAGAAATTTTGTTCGTAAAAATACAACAAAAGCAAAATATATCGACTCAGTTCAATGATGAAAACCTGAAGTCAGCAAATGTAGGAAATGTTCCCCCGCCATCTTTAAAGTTTTGTCGCTCAACGAAGTTTGTAACTGATTTACAGATGTTCCTCTGCTGATACGACAGCCTCCTCGGTAACTCTGGTAGTCTGTGAGGTTTTTCAGGCGTCCAGTCAGCCTGTGCCTCGGTTTCACGCCATAATACGGGTATCTAAGATTATGAAGTCTCCAGTTCTTGAGGAAGGCGCCTAGCCGTCCTTTACCTATAGAAATCTGCATGGGAAATGCCACCCTCTAAGTGAACTCCAAAATTCCGTGCGAATTATCATTATTCCGATCACAGATTTTGAATAGTAGATTTTGTAATTTTCCCAACTGCCAGAAAACAAATATGTCTGCTTGCTGCCTGCCTCATGCTGGTTTGTTGATTAAATTAATCTTCAACCCTGAAGGCGGAGGAGATATGTTCCTCCGAAACGGTAGTTAACTACAGCACTACATGTTACTTCGCAGCTACCGCTCTGAGACCCTCAAGTCCAACTGCCACAGAATATTTCAGTAACACGAGACGAATAGGGGTTAGTGTGTGGGACAAATTGAACGGCTAAAGTAATTATCAGATTTGGAGAAACTATGTCCAGCGTTTTAGGAGCTGACACTAGATCACAGACAAAACAGGTGACTGCTTAATACTTACGATTGTTACTTCGTAAAAAGGAATTTAAATCCCAAAATATAATAGCTTAAATAATGCCTTAGGCAGTGACACGTCAGAACACTAGTCTACAGATGCTCGTACCCTCTGTATTAGGCAAACAGCGCCTGGGCTTCCTTCTAAAAACGTGCAAAATGCAAAATATGAGTTTAATGCTGTCATACACGTAATATATGTACAATAATCACTTCTATATCTGCCGCACGCAGCTTATTCTGAGTCGATTCAAAATAGAAATAACACCGTGTGCAATGAGATGCGTAACCAGTACCTCGACAAGCCCCTCTGATAGCCCAGCCCCAGGTCCACCAGTACTGCAGATGGGGAACACAGTGTGGACCCCAGCAGAAATGCAGGGGGCGTGCGGGGTGTCGAATTACATTTTCATCTGGTTGTCTGCCAACGGGGCTTGTATGGAATTCACTTCATTACTCTGGACGGGAAGCTATGGCCAAATCAGTGATACCGTTTTCGATATGTACAGTGTTCTTGTTCCTCGGTAAGTAGGATAGTTTTGAGTTTGTTCTGGTGACCAGGAAGTTACAATTACGCCAAGATGTAACCCTTTTAGCAATTATATACGTAGACCTATAATTATGGATTCCTCCCAACATTTACACGAGCATAACAAATATTATGCTTCTGAACATACTATCTCCGGAGACTGGGACTAGCTCTAGCGATTGGGCCAAACTGAGTAGGTTTTACCTGAAGACGGAGGCAGAATCCAGTCTCCGAAACGTTGTGTTTTTAGATAAAAACAAGACGATGGATATTTGTACCAACGTACCATCGTCACAAAGTTTTAGATCTTATTTCTATAACAGAAATGGCGGATAATCAATTTAGAATTACGCAATTAATGCAAGCTAGCATGTGAAACTAAAGGAGAATTAGGCGCGAGAACAAGCAGAAGGGACCTTAATGTCAGCCTCGCTTTCATTTGGTACATCCTGCTCTTATGAATGTGGATCAATCGATTGAAGAACGCTAATAACAAAGTTGCTTCAACATGAACTGCAACGTGTGGAACAGGTCTGAGACATTACAGTATCTTGCTCATACCTTCCAACAGCTGCATCATGGTACAACTCTGACAATTAAGTAGGCCTAAACAAACACAGGGTCCAGTGAATGTCTCTATCCTAGCACTGTTTTTGCCCGTTTGTTTGCTCTCTGAGAGCAGTGATGAATCTGATGTTGGTGTCTCGACTGCAGTTGCAACGGCCCGAGCTGACGACTTCCAGTGCCCGGACAACTCAACTGCGATTACACGCCTGAAGAGTCACGTGTTCTGCAACTATGACCCCTATATTCGTCCAGTTCGACTGTACAACGAAACAGTTGATGTCAGACTTCGTCTTGTTCTGAAGAAGATTCACTTCGTGAGTACTCATGTCAGCGGAACTTATTACCTCTAGCAGAACTTTCTCTGAAAGGGCGAAATCATTATTACCTACACAAAACAGTGAAATCTGCATCTCTCTTCTGCAGTATCAGAGAGTTAGTCACCTGAGGCCTCCGACCTCGGCACGAATATGAACCCTTGCAAGCAAAGCGGCAGATTCAGGTGCAATTCCCGTAGGACGTTGTATCTTGAGCTCGAATACAAGACTGTGATAATGATGATTGCACAGCAATATATGTGTAATTATTATTATTATTAGCGGTATTATTATTATAATAATTATCATTAGTATGAAGGTAATGAAGTAGTACGACAAGAAGACATGAAGACGTATGGGGACGTGGACCTTTAACTTCAGGGCCGACAGTTTTCTCCTTTAGAAAAACTCCCGGTTCCCATTCGATAGGAGGTTGGGTAGATTCCAGCCTTTGTCTGGTTGCTGGGTGAGTCTCAGCCCCTCTCTGGAGGCTGGGTGAGTCCAGTGCCTGTCTGGAGGCTGGGTGAGTCCCAGTGCCTGTCTGGAAGCTGGGCGAGTCCCAGTGCCTGTCTAGAGGCTGGGTGGGTCCCAGAGCCTGTCTGGAGGCTGGGTGGCTTCCAGTCCATCTCTGGAAACCTGCGGAGAAGAGAAAATTCACCCTCTCCTGCCACGAATAGAACCTCAACTCCTCTGACGTCCAACCAGTAGTCTAGTGGCTATGTCGAACAAGCTATTCCAGTTCAGTAATAATAGTAATAATATTAATAGTAATAATCATATGTTATTATGCATTAACCCTTCTGGTCGGTTCAGATTCAGAATTTATTAATCATTATAGACCATCTGTAGGCTAATAGGACTCATTCAACGAGAGAGGGGACCATCAAAAAGCATTTATTTACGTTTAAAGAAGAAAAAGACCGACAAATATCAAAGCTTCGAGCGGGATTCGAGCCTACAGTCCCAGTCTTGTGCCCGTTGTGATCAGTTCCACGACAGTTGACGACGACAAGAACAAAAACAACAATATGCATTAATAGATATGTTATCAGCTGCAATACATTAATATGACAGAGCCTACTGGAAACAAAGGGCGAAACTGCATACGCTGAACCCGGCCCACTGCTACAGATATTATTAGTTATCAGCAGCCAGATGTTGTTATCCCAGGGCGTTGTTGCTTCAATACCTGGGATTGGACGAATGGTGTAAATTCAATTTAATGATTTACTTTAAAATGATTTCGCTATTAAAAAGTCGCATGTTTAAATTTAATTAAGAGAAACTGGCACCTAATTTTTACTGAACTGATATTAAATTTCTGTCTTTATTCCAGGATGAGAAGAGAGACACCGTGCACGTTTACAGCCTTTTTGGATTGGTATGTATCATGTAAATGTCAAAAAGACCATTTTGTTTTAAGAAAGCAACTGTTTAGTTTGCATATCTAGGACCAAGAAAGGTGTCAACTTATTCGTAAACTGAGCTCTTATTGTATCTTGTAAGAAAACGCTTAGAAAATAAAAAAAATAAAAAATTACTGTAAAATAATTATTATATGGCAGATTAATACTGAATGGTTATTTTACATGAGTTAATTTGTTGAAGTGAGTTAAAACAAACGAATAATATCAGTCAGTACGCAACGGATTTTGATAACATTTCATATTGGAAGTAGGTTTTGCACACTGAAGTTCATCGAGAAAATTTAATATCGGTCTGTTTCGGCTAAATGCAATCCCATTTTACGGAAGCCGAAATCAAGCCTTGTCATTTTTTTTTCAGAAGCTCTCAATTCCAAATTAAAATGAAATATAACCCAAAGCACAGATTTCGCTATAAAACAGAGCTTTTATTTAAAGTATTTCTCGATATGGCATATAACAAACGAATTAAATTATAAATAATGTATGACCATACACAGAAAATATGGATCTATTTGTCCACTCCCCCATACGCCTTCATGGCGTAGTACTTAATTAGTTAAGCACAGGGACAGCTTTACCTTTTACCCTACCTTACACAGTGTGGTGGGTTTACCTGCGGTGTTGTTAGCTTTTAGCTACAGATTTCCATCTAAAATATTACATTTGTGACTTTAATAAATTAGCATAATGATCGGTGGAAGATGCAAATTCTTAGGTGATAAATTTGAAAAATATAAAAACCCAAATTGGATTAGAGGTTCAACCTCTTCTCTCTTCTTACATTCATCATAGTCCGGGACATGTCATAGGGCGTATGATATCAGAATACGTCTAAGGAAAAGGCGACAAGGGGTAGCTCTGATGTAAATGCTTAATCACCAAACTGCCCCGTTTAATATTGAAGGATTACGAAATAATTACTCTTTATTTTCAAGAAATGCATTAAAATAGGCGCGAACGTCGTCTTTCCGAACGTTGGCCTGTGTTTCAGTTTCTCTAATTACTTATGAGGTCCGGATAAATTTCGTGGAGGAGACCCGCATTCAAATTCGCTGAGCAACCTTACTTTCTGCGAAAATCCTTTTTTCTCTCAGAAGAAGTCCATCGCATGAAGGATTAACATGTACCGGAAATATAAATTATACAGTTCATTTTTTAAATTGTAGATGAAGCATTTTTCGATGAGATATAAAATTAACCAAAGAATTGAAAAAATAAGAACATGTGTGCCTTAAATAGACATCAAGGCGAATGAAAATTGCCAGCTGCAAAAACAGCATTTGCAAAATAATTACGTACACTCCCCTTCTCTATTACTGGCTACGCACATACAAACAAAATTCTTTCGTCCAAATAGAGGGGAGATTTTATAAAACTGCATTGCCATGAAGTTTTAAATCTTACTTACCTTGACCCAGAGTTCCTCTTTATACGAATGCGTATTAAATCCTACATCCAAGAGATTTTTCAATTAAAAATATCTTTCCTGGAGGGCACGCGATAGCGCAGTTGGTTGAGGCACTATGCTGCAAGCCGGAAGGTCACGGGATCGAATCCCGATGAGGTGAATTCTTTCAGTTGACTTAATCCTTCCAGCAGCACTATGGCCCTGGGGTCGACTCAGCCTCTAACAGAAATGAGCACCAGGAATATGCCTCGAGGGTCAAGGCTGCTGGCGCGTAAGGCTGCTAACCTTACCGCCATCTGTGAGCCGACTGTCTAGAAAGTGTGAGAGCCTCGACGTCTCACACCCCTTTGGGCTTTCACGGCATGTTACAGGGACAGATTTACGCCATCTTTTAATCTATTTCCTGTTCTCAGATTTGGACAGACTACCACCTTTTGTGGAACCCAGCCGAATATGAAAATATTGAAGAACTCCGCGTGAGCAGTTACAGCCTCTGGACTCCTGACATCGGTGTATACACTTCGTAAGTATCTTATCTTTACTGGAAAGAAAAGCACCCACACGTTCACCAGGTTGCATATACTGCACACACTGAAGAGAAAGAAACACATTCAAACTTCTGGTGAGAAAACATGAAGCAAAACAGACCACTTTGAATACATGGTCGTCGATGGCAGGATGACATTAAAACTGATCTCAAGGAAAGGGTGTAGGAGGATGTGAACTGGTTTCAACTGGCTCAGGATAGAGACCAGTGGCAAGATCTGTGAACACAGTAATCAACTTCTGTTTCCGTGAAATGAATGGAATTTCTTGACTCGATGAGTAACTACTTACCCTCAGCCTCTTCATATTTTCAACGAAAGGACAAGCTGACGGTAGCAGCAGAGTCCATGTGATTCTCCCTCTTAAGAGGCCTATTGCGATTTAAACTTTGAACTTTAAACTAGCTAACTTCATGGAGCTGAGCCTTTCTTGAGAAGCTGTCAATTGTGCAGTTACTCGAGAACTTCCTAGCATTTTATAGAAACCGAAGGTTCATTACCGAGTTCACAAGAGCTCTCCACTAGTTCCTGTCCTGAGCCAGATCAATCCAATCCATACCATCCCATCCTGTCTTTCTAAGATCCGTTTAAACATTGTTCACCCACCTACTTCTTGGTCTTCCTAGTCGTTTTTTTCTTTCTAGCTTTCTCATCAATATCCTATGTATTCCGCTTATTCCCGTTCGTGCTATATGCCCTGCCCATTTCAAACTCCTTCACCAATCTCCTGTCATTTCATCTCTCTTCGGTCCAGATATTCTCCTAACTGCTTAGAGCTTAGACCTAGGTTTGCTGTTACACTCTGTCATCTCGTCTGATGTCTAGGAACACAGAAATAAGAATATACAAAACTGTAATTTTCCTGCCGTTCTGTTTGGATGCGAAACTTGGTCTCTGACATGAAGGGAGGAACATAGACTGAGGGTGTTTGAGAACAGGGTATTAAGCAATGTCGATGCCGCAGCCGCAGAAGGTTTAGTGCATTTTACCAAATAGGTTCCGTACATTAAAATAAGTTGACGAAATGTGTAAGTTAATTTAAAAAAAAACTATTTTGTATGTGATTAAGTGTCATGTAAATCTTTGGTTATGAAGAATCTTATCTTCTCGCATATAACACCATGTAGTACACTAGAATGTTATTTTGCAGAGCTGACGAGACATCATTTACGCCGTACATGCGTCCTACAATTTGCATCGTACACAGCGACGGCAAAGTTAATTGCGTCCCGCCCTCGAGGCACACAGCTAGCTGCTCGGCCGACTTGACGCGGTGGCCGTACGACACACACACGTGCGACTTGGTGCTGGGCTCCTGGACGCACACGGGCGAGAAAGTCAACATATCGCTTATGAAACCAAGCGTAAGAATACAATTCACACAGAGTACTTCCTGAGGGGCAGCGCCCACTCTTGGACTTGATAACTGAAGTCAACAAATCATGGTTTTCGACGACAAACAAATTATCATTGGCACACAGAAATTAAAAACTGGGCGCGAAGTTATTTCACATACGAAAATACGTATATACTCGTAATCTGGGACAATCGAAAGGAAACAAAATGGACACTACTGTCTCAACATAGGTTTCTATTCGTTGTCGGTGGTAACGCTACAAGTTTCGACCCTTTTCTTGGGTCATCTTCAAGTGTACATGATATTATTTAGACACGTATTGTGTCCGTGTGATTATTCTATACTGACAATTATATCTTAATTTTAAAATATGATTCAAATATACGTAGTTGAAACTAGACACTAAACTTGATTTTAAATGGACACAAATTAGAATTAAAATTAAAATTAAAGTGGCTATTAAGGCATTTATAGCAAATATTACAAATTCCATTTAAGCCCTGTGCCTGCTACATACCGTATGTGTGTTGCTTGTTGCTCCACTGTGGTGGTGATACTGTGCTGTGGGGTGTCTGCTTTCTTCAGACTATAGATCGCCGTGGTTTTATGACCTTCCTATTGAACGTGTGAAGGCTGAACACGCTGTTCGGCGTATCCCATTCGGGTTGTTTATATGTGGACTGCGATGTTCGAACTTGATATTATATACAAGTATATATGCAGATCCCCGTGGTGAATGTTACTTCTGTGCTGTAGCTGTTCTAGCCGTTGTTTGGTAACGGCTTCAACGGCGGACGTTCCCTTCCTCTGAGTTCCCGAACTGTTCTCCGCCTCGGCTGCCACCATATCAGTTCTCACACCTGAAACTCTCAACTAACTAACTAACAACTGTCAGAGTCAGTTACTTTATGACTGGCGGGTTGCCGCCAATCACTTCATCTTGGCGCCAAGCACCTTGAAGCTCTCGACCACAGATTTTTTTTCAGCTGCACCCTTGTGGTCACAGTCCTTATACGTGCATAACATCCTCTTTGACGAGAGGATGGGTTTGTCTCTCGTGAATATGCTTGGCCTTGTCAAATGTACGTATTGCACATATAGCGTGCTATTGAAAGTTCTTGCTTTTGCACTATATACCAAATACCACTGATACTCGAGCTGTGTTCGGGACTTTAACAACCATGTCTTTACTTGGCAGATTTACTTACACGATTACAATATGAACCGTGAATGGGAGTTGGTCTCGATGACGTCATATAGGGAGTCTGGCCGGTTTCCCTGTTGTCCGAATGACACCTACCCCGCAGTCATATTTCAGATTGTTCTGCAGAGGCACTCAGGAAGTTACACCGCCATTGTTGTCGCTCCTGCAATCGGTGAGTAGCATCCAGGTATGAATATGATTACAAGAAACATTTAGGAAAGTTTTCTGTGGAAAGGTTCATAATAATCAACTTACAGATCCTAGCCCGGGTCTGTGCTTTAGCAGGGACTTCACGTAATGAGAGCCATTTATATCGTCTGTGTGAGGTCCAGGGGCCATGCGTTGGGAGAAGTTCTCACCCATCTTTTGCATTAAGCGCGTTATGAGGATGTCGTGAAGATACGTTTGATTGTGCGCTTATACCATCTCCGAAATCATTCAGGTTGCAGTTACATCCCGTGCTTGGTTCTATTCTATACATTGTTGCGTAGATTTAATGTTAGGTCATACTGACTTAAAATATATTCTAAAGGGTTCTGAGAAAGGTGTACAACACCCGGGATTAATAAGCGTTTGGACTTTGTCCAATGATTGAAGTTAACTCTTTCTAACGGAACCAACATAGTACACGTAGATGTCTCACACCCTCTCACCTGAAAACGGAAACAGATCCAGTTTCCGAAATGTTGTGTTACTTAGAAGACCGGACGATGAAAAATGTCCAAAGCCCAGTACTATTAGTGGGCTACTAGAATCCAAAATTGATATCCAAACTCAATTACGCATATGACTTATGATATAAGCCACATTAATATTCAGTTTTTATTTTACATGATGAATATCTGATTAATTAAATGCACGGAAAGACAAGTTTATGATTATGCAGTGCGATTAACCTTACACCAATAGAATTGTGTCTATAATATGTAAACACCAAGCCAATTATGTGATCAAAACCTTAAAGACTACATTTCGGAAAAAGGTATACACTACTGGAACATATTTTTATCCTTATTTATTTGTGTTCTTGAAGAAAAGAACCCCAACAAAAATATCCAGTACGTACAAGGGAAATACGTAACATAATTTAAGTTTAATAATTCATAAATCTATGTTCCCATTTTTAAAATCATACAAGGATGGCACCCAACTCTGTGATCTTGTATCTCTATATATACGAGAAGAACCAATTATCACAAACACGAGCTCTCGTAGTACTGGACAAATTACTTTCTCAGTATATGAACTGATGTTTATGGTAAAGAGTACTGAAGTGGATAAGTATACATTGTTGTGTACCGTTACTTCACCTTTCCGAAGAGAGGAGAGAGTTCATAGGATTAGATCCCATACAAGCAAAGAATCTCCGAAGATACTGTAGGAAAGGGGAAAGATGGCTAGTGAGTCTTGAAGTATTATCCTCTAAGAAACTGAATTGCAATTAAACTGGAATCGAACTGCACGAGGACAGGGCATCATTTCTTTCTCGCTACTCAGCATCTGAACGTACGAACATGGTTCAACTCTGTCCATGTTATCAGCGTTTTAGTTTCTGTCATTATAATATACTACATGCTAGAGGGCAAAGAGAAAGTAAGAAGAATTATATACCTGCATAATATTTTTATTCAAGAATCAGTCGCTCCCTAAGCCACCATTTACTCCTCATTTCCTGACCTTGTTAGTGTTAGCTTCACTGACATTTCCCAAAATGACTAGTTGTGTTTTGTCACAGTTCTGATTCTGATGACACTGGTGACCTGGATGAAAGGTGATCAGTCAGACCGGATGATCTTCGCTATTACTGATGTGTTCGCTCACTTCCTTTTTCTGCAGTACTTGGGGAACATACTGCCCCCCAATGGGGACAGCTCTCCTCTGATTGGTAAGCCGCAATGTTATATTTTCCTATGAAGTGTGACAGGGACACTTCCTATGAAGAGCCAGATGATTGTACGTCTGTACAAGTATGAGAGTTTTGTTTCAGTGCATAAATGTGGATTTTTGCACAAATTAACCAAACATGAGGAGGTCTTACTCGCCCATAATTCTGATCATTTCAGTTCGTTTAATTTCCAGAAATTTTATTTAGTTTTTATTGAGCATCTATGCTAGATGATAAACGATTAATTTCATTTTCGCCCTTGTCAGACCAGCACTTAGCTCAAATCAAACTTTTGTGCAACATACATCATCTAATAAGAAACTGTTCATTGTTCAAGAAATTGGCACCTAACTTATATTATATACCTTGTTTTCTTATAAGTTTACAGTCTGTATGCAAAACATATTTTGATATAATGTACATTTAAACAAACGTAATGAAGAATTATTTATATTCCTGTGTAGTGTTACATCGATAGCGCGGTTAGCTTTGCAGACAGTAGATTTGCATCTGTAACTGCAATGAAGGCCACTAAAGTAAGCAAAATCGCAAAGAACACAAACTAAAATATTCGTACAACTTACCCCTCTTATGAAGGGATATTAAGCATTTTATATCATTATTATCTCGTGCACTGAGGGTCTGGCGAGAACTCTGAATGCCCGGTTACACTACACACACACACACACACACACACACGTATACGTAGCTATTCAGAGTTCAGATTCCGTTGAAATAATAATAATAATAATAATAATAATAATAATAATAATAATAAAAAGGACGAAAGAGAGAGAGAGAGCCAATACGGCATAAAGAGAGGTATTTCCAGAGTCTTAAAAATCATCTTGGTGTCAGACAAACTGGCAGTCAACATAATATTGTGACATGTCAGACGCATTGCCAAGCAACAGCTCGATAAACACCCTGCATTACACGCACGCAACAACAGAACATTGGGGTTATGCAACCCGTTTTAGGCAATGGCTCGGTAAACACACTCCCGCGTAGGCAGTGACGTCACACAATTGTGGACAGAGACCGCGTGATGTGTTTTCTGTAGATCCACGGTGAAGATGTGTGAGGGACAGCAAAAGTCGTTTGCGGGCAGTCGTAAGCTTGAGGAATGAGTAGTATATGGACTTCGCTTTAGTTCCGAAATTCCAAGGGAACAGCAGTGTGACCAGAAACTTAGTGTATGACGTTACATATGGTGTAGTACATCGGTATTGGAAGTGTGTCACTAAGACTTATAAATCCGTGAAGACTACTGGAGATAGACTGAAGAGATTAGCATCGAGTGCTTTCTAGGGTGAAAATCAGGAACAGTGTTATAATTACTTGTAGTTACGATCTCTAAGTGGTCAATAAATCCAATTACCAATCCAAACTGATACACCTGACAATATACTTTTTAATCAAAGTTCATATGTGTTATGACAATAACATAATCTCTTCTTCCTAAAAGAAATTTAGTTGAATTATAAGTAAAATTATGCTTGAAACATCAGGATGTATTAATTTACAGGGAAACTGTGTTTTTATGTCCTTTTCTTTCCTCTTAATAAATATTACCATTTAAATTTAAGAAAATATGTTTCATAGGATTCCGTATGAACAATAGCGACCCTAGAGGTAGAAATTTCTCTCTACATTTTGTGTGTTCGTATCGTCCTGCCTTCCCTTTACGTAGTGCAAATCAAAACTTCTGGTATGTGTCATGAGAACGTCACAGATCCACATATACAGGTGCCCCAGGAGTTTGGTACCACAGTTCAGGAGCGTACTGAGGGATCTCTATAGAATAACTTTGAAATAGGAACCCATGTCCACAAACGTAAAATAGCAGCGCTAGGGCGGTATTTAAAATCATTTCGTTTAAACTTGGCGCCTCAATGTCGAACTGCTTTGCATAGAGGAACAGCCATCCACCAGCACGCGTGCCATTGCCAGGATTGTGGGGACATCAAAATCAAGTGTTTGGAGGATCCTGCATGGCCAACAGCTTTATCCGTATCATCCAACGCGAGTACACGGCGTAGGTCCAGCTGACTTCGTACCACGAGTTCAATTTTGTCAGTGGCTACTGAACCAGTGTTTACATCAGCCCAACTTCCTGAATCACGTGTTCTTCTCAGACGAAGCGCAGTTTACAAGGGATGGCTGGTTCAACTGTCGAAACAGCCACGTTTGGGCTGACGAAAACCCCAACGTTACTGTAGTTGGTTACCACCAGGCGCGATTTTCTGTTGATGTCTGGGCGTGTATCATTGGAGATCACTTGATTGGGCCTTTCCTCCTACCACCGCGACTCAATGGGCCCTTTTGCAAGGTGGTCCTGGAACGTATTATTCCGACTTTGCTAGAAGACGTGCCACTGATTGTGCGGAGGCAAATGTGGGTACAGCATGACGGAGCGCCGGCACACTTCAGCATTGTGTCACAAGACTACCTGGATGGTCGTTGGATAGGAAGAGGAGGCCCGGTGCCTTGGCCATCCCGATCCCCAGACTTGACACCTCTGGACTATTTCGTCTGGGGGCATGTGGAAAAGCCTGATCTACGATACGCCTGTAGATAATGAATTCGAGCTGTTGGCCAGAATACTTGTTGCATATGACGTGATCCGTGAGACACCTGGAATGTTTAAAGGGTGCGCCAAAGTTTCTTTCGTCGATGTAACGCATGTATTGAAAATAGAGTGCACCAATTCCAACATCTACTCTAGCAGGTGAGTCTTAAGGGTTTGGAGGGGGTAATATGTCTTGTGCGTGCTCTTCGACATTGAGGCGCCAAGTTTAAACAAAATGATATTAAATGCCGCCCTAGCGCTTCTATTTTACGTTTGCGGACATGAGTTCCTATTTTAAAATTGTTCTGTGGGGAACCCTGAGTACGCTCCAGAAGTATGACACCAAACTCCTGGGACACTCTGTATACAGCGCATGCCCATGTGATTCTTCCAGTATGTTTTAGATTGAGCTTTGTTTAAACATTACTTCTACGTTCGTTGTTCTGTTTGTGATAGTGACTTTCTACCGGGACTCCATGTTCCTGGCGACCATGGCTGTCTTAACAACTGTTATTGTACGGGGTTTGCGGAAGGCATCTGGTTCTCCTCCAGTCTGGATATCAGGCCTCTCCAGTTTGGTCCTTCAGAATCGCTTTGGACAAATATTAATCTTCCACAGCTTAGACCCAAAGGTAAGCGTGAATTTTAAAATAATTAAAATTTAAACTATCTCATTTTCTTTCCCTTTTCAGTGAGATGCAGAATGAAACTGGGAGACAAGTGTTTGATCTTGCGTGTGCGTGTCCTAGTGAACCAGTCTAGACCGACATAACGTTCAGCAGGCAGCTCTTCGTGTAGATTTCCTTTACAGTAGGACAACATTCCATCAGAATCCATCAAATGGATCGGGAATCACACGTGTAGACATGAGCCCTCTGTTTCGTGCATTACACACAGAACGAGTAAAACAAAGCAGGCACAAATTGTTTCCTGATGTTGGTTGCATATTGGTGAGTAATAAATTCTGGAGCTATTTGAAAACAAATGCTAAAGAGGCTATGTGAACTTAATAATAAATGGAGATAATTATACAGCGAGAAGCTGAACCCTACTCTTTACTAAGCATTGTTAAAACGATTAGATACCAAGGACAGGGACGCCACATATAGGCTAGCGCACACAGTAAAATATCCATGGTTTAAGTCCATGATTTATTTAAACCGTCTTGCAGTGCACACACTCATTCATCTCCTTCTCTCCCTCGCACTACATGTTTCGGCATAATAATGCCATCTTCAGGTGCTTACTTATCCACGTCAAACTAGTTCATTGTATGCCTTGTTCTCATATTAAAATAACTAAAATATGTATCTATCATATACATTGTTAAACGTTAAAAATATAACATTATATCCATGGTTTGGTTGAGGGACCTAACGGCACGAGCAAACGTGGAAAACCAAGATATACCTAGGAGGATCTTCTGGGAATGAAGTGAACAGACAGTGTCTCTCTCGCCCATATGAAAAAAATATTTTTCTGTGCTTCAATGTTCTCGCCCAAATTAGCAAGTATCGAAAACGCTTTTCTGCTTTTCAGTATTTCTATCGCAGAAATTAGTTAAGTATCCAAGAGAGCATACATTGGAGTTACTTTTGTTTTTCAACTTTCAACGTCTCCTTCGCACAAATCGGCACGTAACCAGGATAATTTTAAATCCATTATGTGTTTCATGCAGAAATATTCTACCAATCATTGGGGGAACCGCTCTGTCAACACAAAATGCTTTACCAACCAGTTCAGTTAGTTTCATAATTGGCGTACTTAAAAACTTACGCTAATGTCACAGGAGCGCTGAAAACAGCGGACGTGAAGCATATTGCCACACGGGCGCTATATTCCACGTATTGCCAAGTCAGTCTTTGGCGAGGCTTCATGCTGCGAACACGGATTTTATTGACATTAGCGATGGATTTCGGTTGGAAGATACTTTGAATGTTGTAGGATTTGAAGACACTGAATTGGAAATTGACACCGTTGGAAGTCGAGCAAATGTGCAGAGAATTCGAGATACCTTAGCTGATTATTTTGTTAGCAATATTGGGCAAGTACCTTGGCAGTACACAGCGATAGGAAAGAAAAAGTTTACTGAACATTAATTGCTTAAAAGGAAAAATGGTATTTCGTATAATGTAATAAGTAGTATTTTGTGATATGTCGCCTGAAAGCCGGAATAATCTACTGCTAGGTAACAGCCAGATAAACACGCTGTCGCGAAAACATTCTGGTCAACAGTCCGCTGCTAGGGGAATGACTCAGCATTACTGGTTGCTAGAGAATCGATGGTTTTCTGTAGGTCCGATCCGAGTCTATATAAGGAGTCGATCACAAATTAATAATGACTTTATAGCAAAATTATGCAGGAAACAAGCAGAAGTCATACAAAATCATGAAAATGAGAATGTTCGCAACATCGGACAAGGCGAAGCCCGACACAGAAAGCGTAAGAGGCTTAAACTTGGCGGCGGTCAGGTATACGACCGTTCAAGTGACTAGACTACCGTGGTAGCGAATACTACTAGAAATAGGGCAAAATCTGCTGTACTGAGCCTAGATTGACAGAGGCTCGTATATATTGTACATAGAAATAGGAATTAAGATTAAATTTGTAAATATATGTAAATACTGACGATGGACTTACTAACACAGACTATGACTGGCAAATGACAGACCCGACCTCTCGTCAGAGAGGGCGCCCCAAATGAACAGGACAGTAACTTTCATATAAAGAAGAAAAAAAAATCTGCTCTTGAGCCCCAGTCGGGGCTCGACACCAAGACAGATAGACTGACTGACCGTCAGTGGCAATGTGACTTTGACTTTGACTAATAAAGTCATTTTCTCCACTTCTATTTCCATTCTGACCTGAACAAAACAGCGTGGAATTCTAACTTCATGTCCGCTATTTATCGCGCCCGTGTGACGACCACCATAAACAAATGCATATCTCAGCGCGGACGGGTCACGCTGCGTCATGGGGGATCGCGGAGCTACATTCACAGCGTCCGTGTCGCGGACAACGTGATTCTTAGCGTCCGTGCCGTTTGACTGTTCTCATATATTTGTATGCCTGCATGACGTACGCGAATATTCACGGACGTGAGACAGCACTCGTGTGGCATTAGCCTTAGCCTTAAGATACGAAATGTTGTCTTTCCAACATCAGTCAGCACGAACTGTGACGCATATTCTCATTGCCCAGACTGGGAGTAGATACTTGGAATTATTGTTATTACAAACCAAGTAAACTCAACTAGGCAGCCGCTATTATACGAGCCTTTGAGAAACAGATCGAACGGGTTCATAGGAAAATCGTAATTTTTCTAATAATTTTTACCTGCAGTGTGATTATCGCCGTTTGTAGCTTCTGCTATTGTGACCACGCTTTGAGCCTTGCTCTCAATTGCTCTCTGCTTCCTCGTAGTTGCGTTATTGCCCCTTTCACCTTGTTCTCTCCACCACTGCTTTTGTCGTTTAGTTCTACCCCACCAATTATTGAATTTTGATTTGCTCCCTCATTCTACTACCGCCTCTGTGGTCTAGTGGTCAGTGTTCCTGACTACAGTTCCAGAGGTCCGGGTTCGATTCCCGGCGCTACCAGATTTTTTCGGAGCAGTAGTGGGTCTGGAACGGGGTCCACTCAGCCTCGTGATGATAATTGAGGAGCTATTTCAAGGAAATAGCCACTCCGGTCTAGAAAACCGAAATTAACGGCCGTGGGGATTCGTTGCACTGACCATGCGACACTCTCTATCCGCAAAAGTTGGCACTAAACTAAAATCACGGAGTTCCCCCCCCCTCCTTCTACCTCCCTGCCCAGTGTTACGTGCAATTCCTACAAACAGGAGCTGCTTGGGCGCCAGTAACTTTGGTTACAAGGCCGAACCATAGCTCAAGCGGTTAGTGGCTTCCCACCGCGGCGGCCCGGGTTCGATCCCGGGGTCTGGTCAAGTGGGATTTGTGGTGGACAAAGTGGCGCTGGGGGAGGGTTTCTCCGAGTACTTTGGTTTCCCCTGCCCATCTTCCTTTCACCAATTTCTCCACAATCACCCTCACCTATCATCTGGGGCTGGTACAATAAGAAGTGGCCGCAGTACAAAGGACTTAGTCCCACCCCACTAGCAATAAAAAAAACTTTGGTTACAGGGTAAGTACTGAGGAAAGGCGTTAATTTAATAAGCTAGTCAGTCTTTGTTTCAGCGAGCCGGGAAGAACACTAATTATGAACCACCAATTCACAGATAAATTTTAAACTGTATTCACTATGGAATTTCTGGGGTTTTGGACTTTTCCATCGTCCGGAATTTTAGGCAACAGAGGACACGACGTTTCGGACACTGGATCTCTTTCCGTCTTCAGGTGAGAAAGGAAGACACATACTCAGTTTGGCCCCTTAGAAAGAGTGAAGACGGAAACAGATCCAGTTTCCGAAACGTCGTGTCTTCTGTTACCTAAAATTCCGGACGATGGAAAAAGTCCAAAACCCCACCATCGTCAGAACCCTTTAGAATCTACTTGTATTCACTATGTTTACAGGATACTGTATGCACTATCAGTTCCTGTTTAGGCTGAAAGTTACTTTATAATGATTAAGGTTCCTTTGTCTACATTATAGTAAGAGCTAAACTTACTTACGTCCAATCACTCAGGAGGTTAGAGACAGACTTCCTGATCTTCGTGGTGCACCGCAAGCGACCGCGAGAATCATACCATGACGTAGTTAGCACCTTGACTTAGTTCCGATTGGCTAATAAACCTCGGTGAATTTCTGGGTTAGAGCCCTCAGCCAATCAAACTAGTCTTGCCATCGCACTATACACGTATCATCAGATTCTTCTAGAACTGTCTATAATGCGTAGCAAAGCCAAGACAAAGAAATTTTCGACTTTCTTAAACTTCTATGGAGTTACGCCATATTTCCTTAACTCATGAAATGGATGCACAATATTGTGTCAATTAATTAATGCATAAATAAAATAAATGCATTACCATCGCCACATAATTAGATATATATGTGCAAGTCAGCTGGGGTGGATAATCGGTTATAATATTCACTCAATTTGGTCACCACTCCCGCCTTAGTTCGACCATATTCGCCCCGAATAATCCCCCATTTTAACTCTTCAATCAATGTTGGCCTTTCTTTTGCATTATATTTTGTATCCTGTGTGTTTACTAATACGTGGTACAGTCATAAGTTCGTGAAATGTGGTTTTATCACATCATATTACAAGGGATTCACATACACTTACGCAGATCCACATCGGCCCTCAAAATAGTTTCCGTTGGCCGCTATGCAAGTCTTCCCACGTTGATATAGCTGTCGAAAACATTGCTGAAACTTATTGGCAGTAAACTTCCGTACGACGCGTTGCGGCCATTCCACGAACTTATTGACTGTGGTAGTAGATCATAACTTCATTTCTTATTATTCGCATCATGCTTCGACTCTAAACGGTTATCATCAGGTGACATACACAAACCAGCCAAATATACAGATTAAAACTACAAATTTGTTAAAGTGTGAAGACGTGTAAAACGTAACTAAATTAGCAATGAACTGTATGGATCCTGCAGAATTTTAAAGTATTCGTCTAAATAAAATAATTCCCCATCGTGTGTAATTGCACGTCCACTCTTCAGTTCGGTCTTCTGCCTTCCTTCCTTCCTTCACTTCTTCCTGGCTTGCCACTTCACACGCATATATTGTCCTTTAATTTCCCGTAAACAGATTCGTTAATCTAAGTAAGAACATAACTTCAAGTTGTACATTGGTTTTATTTTCTTTTCTTCGAGTGCCCAGGTGTTAGGTGCTGGGCGGTGTGATTTGAAGCGATTAATAATAAACTCGGGTATCTTGCAGGTTGGGGCATCACGCCATTCATAACCGGTGCAGTGGATTGATCTAGTTTGTGGATCCTTATTAATCCACTTCCGTATGTTGGAGGCTTCTGGGTTAACTTCATACATTTCCATAATTCGTTCTTGTTTATAGCAGTGTTGCACGTGTTAATAAGTAAAGTAAAGGTATCCCTGTAACAGGCCGCGGAGGCCCATAGGGTTGTGAGATATTGAGGTTCCCACATTTTCTCTAGACAGTCGACTCATAGATGGCGGCAAGGTTGTCAGCCTTAAGCGCCGGACGCCTTTTACCCCCAAGAATATTTATGGTACTCATTTCTGTGAGAGGCTGAGTCTACCACAGGGCCATAGTGCGACTGGAAGGATTAGGTAAATTGAAAAAAAAATCCTATGACCTCATCGGGACTTGAACCCGCGACCTTCCGGCTTGTAGCATAGTGCCTCAACGAAATACGCTACCGCGTGCCACTCAGTCATAGTGTTTCGTGTTTCAGGGCGCTGCTGCTGTATCCGAGACATCTGGTGACGAGGGCGATAGCCTCGTGGATGGGGCTGACTCTCAGGCTTCATCCTCGTGGACCACTTTCACATCCTTGCTCGATGTGACCTGCCTCGTCGTCGCTTTGGTCACGTATTTCGTACTTCTACTGGGATTTATCCCTTAAGGCACGTTCTCTCAACCGTGGAAGTACAAATTTATGGTTGAAGCTATCTCTGTACTTTCTAGCAGCTCGTTAATATGTTTTGTCATTAAATTCTTGGTTTAAATAAAAGCTGAACTTCCTTAATCTACGCTCAGCCGAGTACTAAGTCAAAACTGGAATCCCAAACTTCAAAAGCGAAGATGCNTCCGGCTTACTCCGTGGCCTGTAGTCCGCAAGCAGACTATACCGACCGAACAACCGCCGTATGCTGACGAAGCTGGTGCCAACTTTAGCGGATAGAGGGTGTCGCGTGGTCAGCGCAATAAATCCCCAAGACCGTTAATTTCGGTTTTCTAGACCGGAGCCGCTATTTCCTTGGAACAGTTCCTAAATTATCTCCAAGAGGCTCAGTGGACCCCGTTCCAGACCCACTACTTCTAAAAAAATCTGGTAGGGCCAGGAACCTAACCCGGACCTCTGGATCTGTAGCTAGGAACTCTGACCACAAGACTACAGAGGAGGCCTGTCATTCTGGTAACATTTTGAAGAAAAAAAATATATATATAATAAAAACCGCTACTTTAGTGCTTCAGCGGTACTCCACATACTGGCAAGAAAAACAATCAGAGGGGAGGTGGAAGTGCTAGCCAAACGGAAAATGTTAAACACACTTCACCTGCCTGCTGCTCGCTTTAACACCATAGCGACTGAAGCATGCAAAAGTAAGGTAAAAGTGAAGCTGTCCCTATACTAAAACCAACTAGTACTACGCCATGAAAACGAGTGGTGAATGGATGTATTGATCCACGTATTCCTGACCTCAGCAGTAGTCGGAGATGAGTGGTCAGTTTCATGCCCCGCCCACTTTACTCTCGAGGAAAGAGACCCCATACCCACTGGACAGGCGGCTGGGTGGGCCCAGAATCGGTCTGGAAGACGTGAGAAGAAATCTTTTTTCCCATACCGGGAATCGAACTCCAACCCCTCGGCCGCCCAGCCCATAGCCAGTTGCTATACTGACTGCGCTATCCCTAACCCCGAAGCATACTATGCTCACGAGGAAGTAAAAATGCAAAATAAAAATCAAGGTGCTAAACAAGGTCTCCTATATTATTTCGTGTATACGTAAATGGATGACGCTGTCCAAGAATGGTAGGCTAGTGTAGCTGTACATTTTAAAATATTGTCGCGTATCGGGCGTATATCGCGACAAATAACTTCACGATGTATTTGATGTAGCGAATTTTATTTCACATTCGCACTTACAATCACCCAAATTACAATCTGACGGTTACTGCTATCTGCAGTATCACAAATAGTACACTCCAAATGCCACAATACGTGACTAGTTGCTGGCCAACTCGGCGGTAGCTTCAGGACTAACTGACTGACTCAGTCGACTCGGCGACTGTTACAGTACAACTGACTGTGAATAGCCTTCGCTGCTCCCTATGTAGCCTCGATCGGACAATACGGCCGCGTAATAGGCACCCTTGTTGCTAGCCACGCTGTCCGGTTACGTCACCGCTGTTGATTCGCCTTGCATAGTTACCCGGTTACGGGGCTCGGCTATCTTCGGCTCCGCTCGTGACGTCACCGTGCATGGCTGCCAGGATGCGGGGTGATTACTCGCCTATTACCGTAGTAACGCGAGCGTTACGTTACCGCCACGTACCGCTGGGGAGGTAGGGGTCAACATGTCACAATATGATTTTAAATACGCTATACATTTCTGCAAATAATGAAAATCAACTGCAAATGGCTATTAATGAATTAAATAAATTTTTAATTCCCCTTAAAAATATCCACTACAAAAGACTAACAGCAATGTCTTCTACAAGTAAACATCAGGTATGAATAAAAATTATAATAAAATAATAAATTGTCTAGGCATAATTATTTGGGTTGCAATGCCTCCTATCAATAGGATGGATGTATTAATAAAAAGTCGAACAAATTTCAAGGGTTTCATGCCACAAAATGTAGAAAGCTGAGGCAGAAAATTGTAAAAAGCATGAAGCTCAAATTCTGTGAAATTGTGGCTGTTCCTGTGCTAATATATGGATGTCAAAATTGGGTTGTCAAGAGACTGGACAGACATAAAGTAGCAGCACCCAAAAGAACGTTTTTTAGACCAACTGCTAGGCACATTCACAATCAAATATCAAATATGGGGTATCTGAATGTGACAAAATGAATATCTACTGCGTAAACAAAGAACAGAAGAATGGAAAACCAGGCAGTATCAACATATAATGAGTTCTGAAACAGATTCTGAAATACAAACCATTTGGAAGGATAGAGCATAAGCAGACAGAGATTAAAGTTGGAAGACTTTTCTCATCACTTATTTCCCCAGCAACATGAAGTCCTAAAAGACTTAACCATGTGGATGAAGAAGACATGCATAGAAAACTATGTATTATTTTAATATGCCTAACTTCAAAAGTTCAACAAATAGTAGTAAGCTCTATTACACCGGGAAAATGTTCCATTCATACATACAAGATCACATCTGTTGGATAAAAACTAATGTACAGCTATGTGCATTACTTTTGTTTTTACTATGTGGCTAAAACATAGTGAAACTTACAATATCGTTAGATATGCAGTATAGAAGCCCAAGGCTAGCTGGGATGGCCAAGCAATGACCTCACAGAAAGCCACTATAGTGGTGGGACTGGCCACTGGATGGCTTAGCTCTCGTTTGACTAACCACATGTAGAGTTTCTGGCAAACACTTCAGTACAGTAACCCCTTGATGAGAATGCAAACACATTTACACACAAGTACATATGCTGCTGTCTGTAACTGTTTTGTGTAAAAAACAAAATTATCTTTAACTGTCCTATATTTAAGCATCCTGTTGCATTACTATATTTAAAATTGTTAATGTATTAAACAAATTGTTCCTTCTTTCTTACAGTAACACAAGTGAAGACAACACCACACACTGCTAGAGGGAACAAAGCACAAGCAAAATTAGATTGCAGATGTAACATAACAATGATCTTACGAACAGAAAAACAGGCTGCCGCAATAAAACATCTGAAGAAAAGGATAGAGGTCAAAACAATTGGACAACACCCCTTGTGAGATGTAATATGCAGTTTACAAAATTTACAAAAAATTTTAATAGATATTGATTTAAATTGAGTGAACTACATACAGCATGTGCTACTTTAGCACATACCAAATGACTTCGATTATGGCATTTTAAATCCTGAAACACGCAGTCGGTTATGTGATGAATGGACAATACTAGTGCAGTGTAGCAGTTTTAGCATAGTAAGGCACCTGAAGTTGCCATTTAGGGCCGAAACATGAAGTGTCGAAAGTAAAAGTGTAAGAAAGAAGGAACAGTTTGTTGCATTACTGATGGACTGTGTATTACATAAACAGTTTTAGATATCTTTTAACTGTTCAAATAAGGTGTGCTGAAAGAACACAAGGTCAAGCAAAGGATTTCTAAACTACTGAAATGAAAAACTGAAATGGCACAGGTTTTCATAAACCTGTACTACATGGCTTGATGTCTCTTTCTTACATGGTAGTACAAACCCCAACACTTTTTACATTATGTTATCTGTAACAATCCTGCAAACTCTTTCCTCTATAAAACATTTGAAAATACAATTCATAAAGTTACTTACCATGATTAACTGCATCAAAAGTGACTGGATATTTCATTTGAAACTTTATAAGCGGCAGCCTGCAGTTCCATGTACATATTTGCAGTGAAAACATACTAAAAAGTTTTATTCAAGGGACCATCTCTTTTATATCACACATGCACAGATGACTGTAATAAACATGCGAAAATATCTGTCCTAAAAGGAAAGTCTGGTATCTTCAAATACATTCTCTTTCTTATAAGCAGATTTTACATTTGCATAATAAGATGCAAGCTCTTAAACCATTTAAATTATGAAAGGTTAAGGGACATGTCAGCAATACATCCCATTACACAAACGTAACTCTTGGAAGATGGAAAAGACAACCTCCTTGAATTTCAATATATAGCTTAATCTTTTTAAATTCAACACATGCAGATATCAGTTAAAACTCAAAATTTTTTCACTTGTCCATCTCCATCTTCTCAACTTAACACTTTCAAACATAAAATCATCTCTGAGAATCATTAAAACATGATACTGTAGCTGTGCATTTGTTTCAAAGCAAATGATGCAGTTCACTTTCTGGTAAATGAAACATTTTCCCCAAGATTCAGTATTTTTCTGATAGTGGTACCTCACAGTATAAAAATAGAATAAAATTCATCAACCTCTGTCTTCAATAAGACGATTCTGGTATGTCTGCCCAGTGGCACTTATTTTCAATGTCCCATGGCAAAGCATTTTAGTGAATAAGAGAATCAAAAAGGGAAAGATAAAGCTTAAAAATTCAAAATGCAATAACTTTAAAATTAGCTGACACAGAAAATAAGTACTTCATATTTCTCATTTACTCATCTGACTCTGCAAACTTACAAACCTTCATTTCTTTCATACAATATATTTCTGTCTATAATGCAACTTATTACTGTCCCTTTTCTTTCTCACAACATGATTCAGCTATACACAGCCATCATCAGGTGTTTCTAATTCGCTAAAATTGTTGCACGGTATGATATGTGCAACTTCTCATATCACACGCAAGTGCCATATCTCTTAACTTAAAAATAAATGGACATACCATAGAGTGCAACAATTTTAGTGAAAGAGACACCTGATGATGACCGTGTATGGCTGAAACATGTCGTGAGAAGGAAAAGGGACAATAAGAAGTTGCACTGTAAATGGAACTATATTGTATGAAATAAATGATTCATTTATGTCAATTGCTGTGCCAATTTGACATGGAATTGCTCCAGAACAGTATGAAAAATTCATCTTCCAACAGATACAGCCAGTTACTTAGGCTTTTCACTGACATGTGATCCTTCAGTAGCAACGCACTAAAAGTTCCTACATGCTGAGTACTACTACAGTAGCTTCCTTAGCAGTCGAATTTAGTTTCCATATTGAACTGTAAATGTACTACACCTGACGCCCTACAAAATCCATGAAAAATGAATACAGAAATCCGGGGCAATAGAAACTGGTCTAGTACGTAAAAAACACAACCGTTAAAGGGTCAGGCTTGACA